TGCAACCGCAAGGATTGTAAAACTACAAAGAAAACACTTGCCTTTGACTCTGACTTTCAATATCATCCAGTGCCTCATTTCGATTCCCTTATACCGAGGTATAACTAAATAGAAAGAGAAGATTAAGGGAAAATTTAGTGTAAGTAGACAAACGACAATCATGATTATTGCACCGTTTGAAGAAGTTCGTGTAGTTGTTTGCGCCAACACCTCACTGACCCATAGTCAGCTAGATTTCCTAGTGTGTACATTTTTGATATGCTATGTTGATGATTTCAGAAGTTGCGACCCCTCGTCCTATGAAAACATATATTTAGAAAATGTACCAAATACTACATGCGAGAATCATACTAGCAATAACCCCCGTTTGAGAGCTTATGATCACACCTCATTTGCCGCCAAGATTACAAGCCAGGGAGCGGAAAGGTTTGACTTCGGTACTTTTGAGGTAAGCGTGTATGGATATGTCATACCTGCAATTAAGACATTTGGTATTCTGGCCATCTTTGCTTACTTCTTTACGCTGTATCGTGTCCGCGCTTTGCGCAACTTCACTAATTTGTATCTATCCAATTTTGCCGTGGCTGATTTGATTATCTTATTGAGTAGTTCCACAATATTGCAATATCAGGTTTTGCATACAGTGCATCCGTACGGCGTCAGGAATCTTGGACATGTGTTTTCGCTTATCACTTTCATAATGACTGTAATAAACATAGTGAGTGCTTACACGGGATTTGGGTTTTGTACACTCATAACGGTCGAAAGATATATATCCATTTGTCATCCTCATAAATACAAGGGCTTGCAGTGCAAGAAGAGGGCCATACTATTGGTAATTTTAACGTGGGTTGTGACGCTTGCACCGGGGGTTGTAGAAGTGGTCTTGTACCGATTCTCATTTCGCACAATCTGCCTCGTGTGGCCTGATGACGATAAACATAGATCACTGAATGGTCTGACTGAGGTCATAAATGCTTATCCCACCTTCCGTACTCGACTCTCCGTATTTTTTCTCGTGCTGTACTTTCTGTTACTTTTGACAAACGCTGTCTTGAACGCACTTCTTCTCAAGAAAGCGCGAAAATTGCCACCAACCGCTTCAAAGCAAACCAAGACCGCAGCCAGAAGACGCAATCGCGTCACAGTCGTTCTCTTTGTCAACTGTGTCGTGTTTTTCGGCTGTTACCTTCTTAGGATTGTTAACTTAGCAATGACTACAGCCCAATTATCTGATAAGGTAACCTATCAGTATGAATTTGGAAGGATCTGGAACGGCACGATGGCGATTGTTCGCGTGTTGAACTCCGCCATCAACCCCGTCATATTCAATGTGGGAGGCGAGAGGTTCAGGCAAGCGTTTCTGGAAGCATTTTGCTGCAGAAAGCCCGAGAAAAAGGCGGCCAATGTTATCGCGCTTCAACCACTTAGGAAACGAAATGATGCGGGGAATTGAGACAAATAAAAATGGGTTCGCCGCGCGATATATAAACCCCAGATAGCGTAAACATTAAAAGCGAGAGTTTTTTTTTTCAACCGGGTTTTATTTTGTATAATATTATATAAAGAGTAGTTGTAAATTGTTTTCACTTTTATCATGTATTTCAAATTATTGATGTTTTCGTTTCCCAAGTTTTTATATGTTACGGAGAACGTATATTCTGAAGCTGAATAAGCTAGAAAGTCTTTGTCTTGCGCTAAAACACGTGCATGCAGTTAGAATTTTTTCTAAATTTAACTGTGATATGTAAAGAAATTGAAGAGCATTATAGGACTAGGTGGCAAAATGTTATGTGAAACGCACCGCACATGTAAGACAATAACCAAGAAAGCCGGAAAAAGACAATATGTATGTTCTGTATTAGTGTACAAGGGCGGATCCAGAACACAATTTTGGGGGGGTCAAAAAAAAAATTTGGCCCCCCCCAAAAAAAAGTGGGTCAAAAAAATTACGGCGTGGGGTTCGGGGCCCGCTTAAGGGCCCCGAAATTTGTTCGATTCTAGATGCTCTGTGGTGCGATCTGAGGCAATTTCTGACCACTTTAATAAACCAATGGGTTTTTTTTGAGGAAAAGATGGTGGTGTACTCATTGCCTGCCTTTATTGCGATGTCACATAAGAAAAAAAAATTGGTTTCGTTTTTTTGGGGGGGGGGGCCATGGCCCCCTTTGGCCCCCCCCCGGATCCGCCCTTGTTAGTGTACCGCGCTATCAATCAAAATTAATAAAATCTGTAGTAAGACAAGATAAGTTTGCGGTAGCACCGTGTGAATAAATCTCTTTTGTGAGTATGTGTGGTTATGGAAAAAATCTGAAGTGTCAATAAAAAAAAACATTGCCCCAGTTCGCCTCGTAGTTTCAACATTCATTCTAAATCTGTGCAATAGTAAAACAGTAATTACAGGCTTTCTCAGGGCAGCAGAACCAGGGTAGGGGCCTGGGGGGCACTTGCCCCCTCCCCCCCCCCCCCAAGATTTACCCAAGTATCCCTCTTGCGGACTTATTAATGTGCCCCCGGCGAGCATTAATGTGCCCCCTCCCGATGAAAACAAAACTGGCCTTAAAACTATGGATAATTTGTTTTCAGTAACCGTTTCCCAAAAGGGTACAGAGAGTTCTAATATGAACGAGGAATGAAAACCAAGACCCCCAAACCCTTACAATGCGCCCAGAAATGGGGCACATAATGTGCAGTTTGCCTAATGGCCGGTTTTGAAGCGTACCCCCTATTTTGGAAGATGGTACATAGTCCCCCCCGCCCGCCATTTGATTTTACGGAAGCCAAGTGTCCTGTGAACTGAAACATTGAGTAAACGTCTTGGAAGTAGATGTACGTTAGGCCAATCTTCACATTTTGTCCGATATAAAAAATCTCTGACTATGTCATAAGAGTGATAATAATGAATGCTTTATTTCGCACTGAACACCCATGGGCCTCGGCTACTGTATGGTGTCAATTTCTGTGAAACAATATACTGTTACCATGAACCCCATGAGAAGCGTATGCTTGTTTTATAATCAAAACGGAGGTCAGCAAATCAGATTGTGTGTGAATTATCGATGAAAATGAGCTCTAATTTGAGAAACTCTAGATCCGATGGCAAAGGAAAATTGCGTTACAGTGAACCCCACTATAGGCTACGGGCTAAGGCGCACCAGCACACTAGTTTAACTATTATTCGCATGGCTGATGGCCTTTTACTAGTCTATGTAATAGACGCTCGTTGAAGACGTTCGTACGGAGCACACGGCTCGCTCCGTAGAACGGGTGATACTCAGACTAGCCTTTTACAGGGTGGTGCAAAAATCTACTTTAGACAAGACTACATACAAGGTGAAATTAAAAAAGAAAAAGAAGCAAGAATAATTATATTATGCGAAATTTGAATACATGTCACCAAAATCACTGTAAGTCTATGTTTGTCTTCAAATCAAGCTCCGTTGTCTTTTATTCGAAGAATCTTTTCAAATAGGCCTACTCTGTACCAGGATAGAACCCCAACTTCAAGGGGCTTCAACTCGGGCTTGAGTTTTCAGGCTGAGAAAAGGTATTCAAAAATAAATATTCCGAGTCGTTCAGAACACGAGCTCATATCAGACTTGGGAAATTTTTCTCGGAGAATTGAGATCTGGAAAACGTTGTTTTGGATGTGATGGAAAATGAGTTGGATTTTGGGGACTGACGAGGTACAAAATAACTCATATTCTTTATTCCTCCTTACGATATGCAATATTATCAAGGTTGGATCACGGGACTCCCTTCTCAAAATGTAAAATGATGTATGTAGCGTTTAAGATGCATTCCCGTGTTAATTCCGTGTTTCATCTCAACATTTTAGATTTGTTCAATTGCTATTTTCATAAATTATTCACTTTTGAATAAAATCATGGAGCGAAATAATAATCCACCGACGGTTAGTTATCAATTATTCCTTCACAAGGCTGCCAGACAATAATTCGGCTCTCGCAGGGCGGGTTCATGTGCGCAAAATGAAAGGCCTTTTTCAGAGGGTTGCAGACGCCCAAAATCGGAAAAAAAGATGTTTTTCCGTTAAAACAAAACAGACAAATTAAAATTTGGAGAGACATTTTTTTTCAGAGTACGGGGTATACATCTTTAACTGCAATGTCGGAGTGTGTAAAATATAGCCGTTCATCAATTCGCGAATGTAAGTTATAACGCATACCCAAGGAAATGGTAGTACAAAATGATGCACTCAAAAGTGAAACACTAGACAATAATGGTGTTTCGCCGCATCTCTAAGCTCATATATGCTGAACCCGTCCATCCTTTTTAGTAACTGGATGCTCTGGAGGATCATTGGTATGGAATTACCGAGACTCGATTGGAAAATTAATGATTCCTTTCAATTTCGCGGAGCCAGAGGGGAAGATTGCTTCATCAGCGGGCCCGGGCTATCACTCCTCCCCGGCCCGTGTCTGATATGTGGGTCTGTTTCCTTAGACGAATTTGGTATCCCAGTGCCCAAACAACCTCGCATTAGATTGGCGTGTAGATGATTGGCCCGGCTCTGATCCATGTCTGGAAAAGGTAAAGCCCATACGATAGATCGAGCTACTAAAAAAAAAAACCACCGCACATTCAGTTTTTGTTCTTCTTCTAGGATATACATTTCGGTAATAATAGCCAGGGCTAAGTGCTCCGACAAGATTGATGGTCGCAGCTACACTACATCATTAGACCGATAGTAAATACATGTACAACAGCTCACTCGGGATATTCGCGTCTAGGCAGAAATGAAATGAAGGAGGGAGACTTTCAATGAGCTCTCGGCGATGCGTTTTTCTTCAGTCTAGTCAGTCCTCATTTGATCCACAAAAAAAAAGGAAAACAAACAACACTTTGAAACGTGATGACTGGATTAAGTTTATCTCCGGCGATGAGCGAATTAATGATATCGTCACGTTCTTAATAGTTTCCCCTCGACGGCTCCGCCTCCCCCCCCCCCCCGAACCCCGTCGAGATCTTTCGTTTATGGTCTCCTGAGGGCGCTGTGTAAACACGCGGCACAAATAAAAGTAAACAAGCATTAGATGTCCACAGGCACAGCACAGGTAATTTTCTGGCGAACCATGGCGAAATAAGTGACAAAAAACTGATAGAAAACTTGATAAATAATTAAGAATGAAGTAAACTAGTGGGAGTAGATGTGTACAGGGGAAGAATATTGCATCCTGAGTTACTACTGACGCCACTTTCTTTTTACCAGTGTCTTCACAAACAATTGTGGAAAAGATAGCTGGAGTTACCCAGCCCAAAATTTTATCATTGGGTTGTCATTTAGGGCTGGAGGAAGTTGTTCACCAAAACCAGCAGCAGTGGCAGGTCCAAATTTTTTTTCTCGAAAATGTGCAATTTTGTCCCAGTTAAGTTACACACTAACTTCAACCGGAATTCACCCAAACCTTGCCTGGAATAACCACTACACAAGAAGTAATAAAATTTCGAAGTGGCTATCGTTACGGCAGCCGTTGTTTAGCGCCCTCTACGATACTTTTTTGATATGCACGCAGGTATATAATTATTTGTTTCCCCACGTTTTAGCGAGCAGTGCGACAGCTCAGTCGATAGAGAGTAGGATTTTGCACCACGAGGTTGCGGGTTCGCATCTCGGTTTTGCACTCGAATTTTTTTCCTTTTCTAACCTGAGGCTTTGGAGGATTTTTTAAAAAAAGGGAAATAAAGTCCGAATTTCATAACGTTCAAATTCACTTTTTTTCCTTCTAATTTTATATTTTCTTCTCATGTTTTTATATTTGCAGTACTACCATAACGATAGAAAATGGGAAATGCGTTACGGCTGCCGTAACGATAGCCACTGCGATAAAATTTAGGGCTGGGTAACTCCAGCTATGGAAAAAACAAGTATAGTGTCAACTGTCACGCATCTAAGTCATTATCCTGAGACTGAGAAACTTTTCAAATTGTGTAAGAAGACTTTTTGCATGCATCTCTCCATAGACTTTGTACACATCCAAAGAAGTGGCATCAGTATACTACATGATTTCCATTCATTGTTTAAGAACTTTTTTCCTTTCAGTCAGTATGGCCATGAGATAGAACTGCATTTTCCTACACCACATGGCAAACACAGCAACATGAGTGGACACGACCAGCAGGCCAGCGTTTGCTGTGTCAAAGTGATGACACTGCCTAAATGGGTAAAGTAATGGACCAGTTTCATTGAGCTGCGAAGCACACAGAAAAATGCTTAGCACAGACAAACAAAAAATTCTTTGCAAACCAGAACCCGATTTCATGAAACTGAATGCACGATGCATCGCAGCATCGTATCCCTACGATGCATTGCAGCTGCGACGCACATGTCCTGTGATTCTTTCGCAAAACACGTCCCAAGTGCCAAGCGTTGTAGGCGTTTTATTGCAAAATACGGTAACTGTTATGTGTATTTATTCAACGCACAGTAAATGGTCGTCTGTTTTTTAGCAAAGAGTCATCAGTTCTCCTCGAAAAGTTTGTGAAACATAAAAACAAAGTGGCGGACGTATGATGCCGTTTTCAAGAAAAACAAGCGCATGGCGGACTGCTACCTACTTCAAAATTTGATGCAAATTTAGTCTGTGGCATCAACTGTGTGTTGTTTTCTCAAGAAAAACTGGCCTCTTAATTTTATTCAAACTCAGATGATAACCTGAATAATTTATCTGTCAGAAGTTGGTTTCAGTTCAGAACAGTGTCGGAATCAGTTTGGATTTTATTGTTGTATTCAGCAGATGAAGTACTTGCTTCTGTACTCGGTAATCATCATGCTCCTGGTGACCTTCTACATCAGTTGGGATAACCTGCACTCGCCATCTAAGAGGTTACTGGGTACGCACCCAAAGCAGCCCCTGGGCGGGAGCAAGCTGTTAGAACTGGCCAGAGAGATCACAAAAGACTACATCAGAGTGGATTCAAAAGAGGTGAGAAGTGCTCCCAATTCCTAAGTCAGTATTTGGTGGATTTGCTACCCTACATGCCCAATATGGTAGTCTTAGTTTGTTTGCTTGGTACATCATGCATAGTCCTAATTTTTGGACCACTTATTATTACCAGACTTTTTTCTTGATGTGGACTGTGATGGTGGACCCATTAGGCCAAAACAAAGAATAGTTCTGCTTCCGGTTACCCGACCGACCCTATTTTTAGGCTGCGACCCTAAAATTTTTATTGGCAATTCCAAAAAAAAATGAAAACAAAAGATTGAATAAATAAAAATAAAATTTTGTTGTCTTTTCTGTCTTCACAAAATACCTCTCAACAACCCTTTTGCATCAAAAAATGCTTGTATTTATTTGTTTTCTTACTTACATTCACTTTTTTTCAAAAGAAACCTCCGTTATTTTTACAAATTTGCTTGGCGATATAAACGATGTCCGTACGGTGACTATATCACGTGGCGACGACTGGTTCCCGCCGCGCTGCGCAGGGGCCAATCTAGAAGACATGATGAAAATGCGGTAACCAGTCCATAGCTATGCGATCGCGACCGATAGCGCGCTAGCAGTGCAGGCCACTGTCAACTGGTCGGATTCGACATCGTGAAAAATGCCAAGAAAACACCGATGGAGAAAGAACATTTTTGCAAGTTAATTTACAGAATTGATCAAGCTTGTCTGTGTGTGTATTTTCTGTGTTCAAGAGTTCATTTTGAGATCGCACTACCCGTATTTGGAGTGATACATGCCGCGTGTTTCCCGAAATTTTTGACCGTGAAAACAGGTCTGTCGGCCCATGGCGGGCCGCTCGCCACACACGCACGTATCACACACCTCGGAGTTTTGGCCAGCTCCCCGCGTCTTGACTAGCGTTGTGCATATAGTGCGAACGACCTGAATTTTCCATTATTTTTTGAAATTATCGAACGTAAATATATTGACAATAATTAAAGGTAGGTTTTATTCACTTTTTGTTGCCATTTCGTGTATAGCTTTCGTAGTGCAATGGAAATAGTTCAGGCTAAAACTTTGCATATAATTGAATACCCCATTCAATCGGGGGTCAGACAAGTCGACCGTTGAGACAACTCGACTCAGGACAAGTCGACCATTGAGACAACTCGACCGTTGAGACAAGTCGACCGAAGTGCGATAAATTAAAAGACAAGTCGACTGTTCAGACAAGTCGCCTCGCAAGTTTTGGAACCTAGTTTTGGGGATAGTACCGTTTTTTTTTACGGCGGCTGATCGCCGTCTGGGAGTGATGACACTTGAGGGTTTTTATTGTTGCATATTAACCATGATATAACAGAGCCGATATAGCGCAGCGTCGGATTGTCCATGCACGCACATCGTCGTTCGTTTTTTTCCGGACCTGTGCGCGCATTTGCCGGTCAACTTGTACGTACCATGCACCATGGGTCCTTGCTCTATGCGTGCCGCGCACGGTGCCAGCCTTGTGCGCCCACTTATCCCATCCCCGGTCGGTCAACGTGGCCGTACGTACCGTGCACGGTGACATCGTTTGTGCCGGGCCTGTGCGCCCACTTGCCGCGCCAGTCGACGTGCCCGCGTGCGCGTGCCGGGCCGGGCCCAGTCCTCGCGGGCAGGGCGCACCAGCCCGACGCGACGGCCACCGGATCGGAGCGCCCACTGTACATCGAGTATGCCCGCGCCACGCCCGTGATCGGTCCTGCCATGCAATTTTTTTCTGCTCTGCATATACATTTCCATTAAGTCTAGCTGTCTCAACGGTCGAGTTGTCCCGCGTCGAGTTGTCTCAATGGTCGACTTGTCTCAACGGTCGAGTTGTCTCAACGGTCGTCTTGTCCCGAGTCGAGTTGTCTTAACGGTCGACTTGTCTGACATTCATTCAATCTGCATAAAAAAAATTGGCAAAAAAAAAAAAAAATTCTGACCGCTAGCATTTTATGAATACACCTGAAAAAAGTCTCTCACGACAAGAAAGGTTATACTGGCCGACAATTTGGCACCAGATTTTTAACTCTTTGATGCACAGGGAGGTCACTAGCGAACGTAAAAAACCAAAACAAAATTATAATCTGTGCATCTAATCCAAATATTTAAACACTGAACCACAGGAATAATTCAGATTACAGAAGACTAGACACTTAAGTGCAGGACGCAAATACACCACAATGAAGAACTGATAAGTTTCACCCTAAGTCATTTATTACTCCCTAACATTACCAACTCCATCAAAATCCATCCCCCATCTAGGGGTGGGGATTTGAGCAGAGAAGCCATGTGTACCAAGTCCATCAAAGCTGCCGAGTCATGTTTTGAATTGCGCCCGAAATCGGCATCTGGGACACATTCTTCGTCAGTTAACTTTGTCAGTTACTTTTTGGATACCTGCAAATGATGTAGGCCTACTCTACCTTTAACCCCATGCGCACGGGAAGCGGTCATGGCCGCGGCCGCTAATCCTCATTGGAATGCAGTTGCCAGCTGTGGTATGCCGTGGCACACGGCTAGTGGGTAGTTCCACAGCTGCTGCTTTTGTGCAGTCCCGCTACCACACAAAGGCTGTGCAGTCATGCGGGCTACTTGCTCTATGTGTGGAGGAATGTCCCCATTACACCCCGTCCTTAAGGTGTTAAGTGAAGTCAATCTCAAGTCAATCACAGTTCAAATCACAAGAAACGGGGAATCAACAATGACAAAGCAACTGCCTTTGTCACCAATCACTTGAATAGCTTGTGACTTGCCTTGAAGACTGGATGTTGCCCGTGATCGACTTGTGATTGACTTGTTAAAATGCCCATTGAATTCAGCGTTTTTGTTCTTGTAACCCCTTTAGTCATTTCATCACCACTGCAACAACTGCTCCGTGGTGGTCAGCTCGGGCCAGCTCCTGGACAAAGCAGCGGGCAGAGAGATTGACCAGTCAGCCTGCGTGATCCGCATGAACGACGCCCCCACCGTTGGCTACTCGGTGGACGTCGGTCGCAAGTCAACACTCAGGGTAGTGTGCTTCAAATCCTTGCCCTTCCTCAAGGGTGCCAACCTCATTGGCAGAGGGAAGACCGACATGGTGAGTCTGGTTGGACTTTCTGGACCCTTTTTTTAATTCCCAACGTATCGCTTTTTAGTTTCTCAAAGTGTTCCTGTAGATTTACAAAGTTTAACTCTACCCTTATCCTGCCAAATTTGAACATCAACAATTTTGCTTGCTTGAGGAGTGGTTTAAGTAAACATTCAGGTTCTGCATTGTCCTTTAATATAAATTTAAATTTGTATCGCATTCCAATTATCCGAGTAGAAAGCAAACAATGTTTTGATTTAGCTTATGTAATCTGTTGGATTCAGCATGGTGCACACATTGCTATTGTCGGATATGCTAGTGTCATGGCCTAGCGATTAAGAGCACCGCACTGGACTCATGCTCTGGTGTTTTTAGAGGCAGCAGAATGTGGGTCTGGACACTTGTGCCCTTAAGCAAGGCACTTAACCATTACTGCTTCGTCCTTCGGATGGGACGTAAAGCCGTAGGTCCCGTGTGTTGTGTAATGCACTGCACGTAAAAGAACCCAGTAACACTTATCGCTAAGAGAAGGGGTTTGCCCCTGTGTTTCTGGACATCTGTTAAAACTCCCCTGCGGAGTATTTAGGAGAAGAACCAACCAAGTACAAAGTACACAGCATTTCTCAATCATATCGCCCCATGCAGGTAGCAGTGTGGGGGACAGAGAACCCACATCACAAGGGGCGCGCCACCTACATGCTGCGACAGGTGCTCAAGGCCTACGAACGCGACCCAATCCAGTTCTACTCCATGAAGAACGAGGGGGAGACTAAAGTAGCCGAGTTGTTTGAGGACGAGCTGGGTATCGACAGGTGAGTTCCCCTTTGATATGTATCAGGCATGATTCCGGACGGCACATTTTCTTCAGGTAAAACATCCCAGCTGTCAGACTATCATGCTAGTTCATTGTAATTTCATGGAATAGATTTGTAATGTGTGTCCTTATAAAAAGGGCATCTTTTTGTTTCTTTGATTGTCCTTTCAACTGACCCTATTTTGGGCTTCCAACCCAAGGGAAAAACCTTGTATATTTACCGCCGACCGTGTCTGGAACCCCAATTAACAAAACATAACAAATTAGTCGACGAAATTCAGGAAATAAGGCTCTGTGATTTTTGACAAGCTATGGAAAGTAATTTCTGAGTTTACTTAAAGCATGGCGTATATCGACCAATTGACTCTAAATGTATCAGGGGCCTATGTAGTCAACTACATCATGTCAAAGATGGCTTTATTATTTTGTTCAATGTTATGAGCAGAGGATTATCTCATTGAAAGAGACAAAAACGAGAGATATTTAATTTAGCCATCTATATGGGTGTAACTGTAATTTTTTTCTTCAGATTATTATTTTCTGTTGCCGACTGACTGACCAATCCTACTATCAGCTGCGAAAAAATACGAGGACCATGGAAACAGAAATGGGACGCCCTTATAGGCAAATAGGATTCAGGAAATGTGCCGGAAGTATTTAATCTAAACTATGCCATCGATTACATTTTGTTTTCTGTTCAGGGTTAAGACCAACACGTGGGTTTCCACCGGCGTGTTCACAATGCTTCTGGCTATCCAGATGTGTGACAGCATCACAGTCTTCGGTATGGCAGATGAAAATCACTGCAAGTAAGTTGATTAGCGAAGATGCTGAGCAAAGAAATATTCACTTGGCACAAACAGATAACCAGCATTTGATTGGCTAACCATATAAATTTGCTATGCAAGTTCTGCTTTTGTCCCTGAGCAACCCACTTTGCTGCAATTGTTTTTTCGCCAAATGGGTGAGCACATTATTTTCATAGTTCAGTCCAATAAGACAATTGATTCCATCCTCAAAGAATGAAGGGTATATTGTCCACGGTTTTAGTCTCCTTGAACAACTTGAGAAATTGAACAACTTGATAAATTGAACAACTTCATTCCTTAACCCTAACCCTCATCAACCAAGGCAGTTTTGGAGGATTCTAGAGGATTGAGGCTGTACGCCAAAACAGTGTCGGTTGGTTTCGAAGGATGCGTTGTGTCAAGGCCTTAATCTGTACCCTTCATTGTTTATATTCAGCCATGCATAATTGTGACCTACCTTAATAGTCGATTCATCCGCACTGCTTCTGGATATCATCCGCACAGCCTCAATGTATTACAGTTATTGTTGGAGGATTTTGAAGCATCGAGGCAATGGTCACCCCTCCACTGAACCAATTCAAGAAATAATGGAGGATTTTAAAGGATTACGAATGGATCTTAGCCAAAAGGGCCTGGGCTATTAGGGTTTATGGTTCTGTAGGCAAAAAAAGAAGTATGTTATCAGAACCGTTAGGGTTGTGCCTAATGTCGTACTTTTTAAAATATTTTTTATAGGCTTCATCCCGACAGTCGCATCCCTTACCATTACTACGGCCGGTCTATGCTGGAGTGCGAGATGTACAGGCAGCATCAGGAGGAGTTTGAGCTAGGCAGTCACCGTTTCCTTTCGGAGAAGACGCTGTTCCGACGCTGGGCCAACATGCTGGACATCAGGTTCCGATATCCGCACTGGAACTTGACCCAGCTCAACGCAGCAAACGGGCAAGCGTGAGACACTTGGTTTGGATTTTTTTTCATTGCGTTTAAAAGTGCAACTCTAATGCATGACCACAAGGGGGCGCCCTTACAACAGACCAGGTATCAACTATCCTGCATGGGACTTACAACAAACAGACAAGCTTGAGACTCCTTTGAAACAATGATATCAGAGCTTTGAAATTGTATGCGCGACTTTAAAGATGGTGCTCTATCTCAACACGTTTTTTTGTGTTTATTAACCAAAAATATTTTTTGGACAAGGTTTTATGATCGAAACCGCCCGTTCTTTTTCAGGTAGAAATGATGGCAAATGTATGTCTGTGATAAAGTGCTATGTTTAGGAGATTCCAATTCCCACCATTTTTAAAAAATATTTTTGAGGGGGAAAGATGAAGTAGGTAAAAAAAAACAAAAGTACAAAATGTACAAAAACTTCACCTCTGTGATCTCTTGTTCTAAATTTAATGTAATCAATTCATGCAAACTCTCTGCACAACTCACCAAGCGTCTGAAATAGATAAACTAATTTTGTACTATTTTGAAATTGAACCAAAATTAAGTGTTTTTTTTTTCTTACATATTTATAATGACTCACTGGTCAATTAAAACCATTTTACAGTTTTCCAAAATCAATCTGAGCAAATTCTTTACAAATTTATTTTTGATGTAAAGATGGAAATCTTAAGTTGGAGTAAAATGGTTCCATTCAGCATGATTTTAATTTATTGAATATACACTGGCATTTCAACATAAAAATAAAATACATTTTTGAGGGATTCAGATATTTTTTTATTGACTATGGAGATTTGATTTTCTACCTAATCGAAATTGAAAATTGTCAAGTTAGTCGTGTACATTGTAGATTTCAAATACTTTCAGAATGTAATGTATATTTATTCATTTTTTTACAGTATTCAAATGAAAGCCATTTCAATCAGAAACCAAAAATGCAACTGAATCAAAATTTGTGATTAATATTTTTATGACTTACTAGTTTAATTTTTTTGCAATCAAAAGATGACGAGAATGCCATAATTTATATTTATGATCACATGATTTTTATTTATATTAGATTGTTAGTTTTACAAATACTAAATTTAGATATGTATGTGTACATTGAAGTTACATGTTTCTAAAACTGTTAAAGTCTTTTTAGAGGTTTTATAGTTTTTAGATCGTTTATCGCAGTACTGCATGTGTGTGAATTTAAAGATGCAATCACATATTAGGTGCTGAAATTATAGCAGAAATAATTGTGAAATTATGAGAGTTTAAGCAGCTGAAACTGACCCTTTAATTATGTAACTTACTTGATTTAACTCTGTAAATTCTAGTTCTTCCCTAGGAAGAGATATTATGATTCTCTGAATAAATTTCCAGAATATTGCGTAGATTTGGAAAGACAGTCTCAGTGTAGATTTCTTATTGTGGATAAGCAATGCTAAAGTATTTATCATTTAGCACAGGCTGTATCTAAAATTGGTGTTTATTCTGCAACTATGGATGTTTATTGAAGCATGCAATGTGAAAAACCTTCTTTCGTTGATTTTTTTCCTTCAAAATGACAGCTTGCCAGAAAGAATAATTTCACAGGGAGTTAAGTCCCATTACTGTCTTTTAAACAAAGTATGCTTTTCATCAATAATTTTGTCAGTTACTTTTTGGATAGTTGCAAATGATGGACTGTAGCTTCAAAGTCATCTATAAGTAATAAAAACTTAAATCTTCCGATTAATTTGGAGAAAAAAATGCCAAATCACTCCTCTTGTGCCTATACTACAAAATGTGTAACTATCCTATCCTCTATAAAAAAAAAGTTCAGTTAAGTAAAACTGTACAAATTGTAATAAACTTACTAAGCGTACATTACATTACGCAGAGATCAACAAACAAAACCAGACTGCACATATTTGGTATATTTTGACAATTTTTGTTTTTATTCAGATGTACACTGTACTTTAAAGAAATAGTTTTTGAAAATTATTTTATATATATTAGAACTGATTCAAGGTAACGCAAGTTATCATGACAAAACGATTAATAATTATCAGTGAGGGAATGCAACTAAAGCCATCGAAAATCTCTAACAATCTGGAACCTTGCTTGATTTTTGCTTCAATTTTTTTCCCCGATTTAAAAACACCAGCAAATAGCATGGATAAAAATTTCAAAAATCAAAAATTATCGCGCAAGTAAAAGGACATCATAGGATATGAAACATTGGCCATTTTCATTAATGAGAATATTATTATGCATGTCAAGGACAAGAAGCAAAACATAAAGAGAGAAAGATATGCAACACCAAATATTTTACGTTGTTCCCACAAATTATTATAGACAAAAAATGACGATGAAAATCAAATGATCACCAGATACAATCCCATTAACCTTCGACATAGTACTTTCGACATTTATATAAACAAAAATAAAAACCAAGAAAAAGATAGTGATATGTCAATACATGTATTTTTTTTTTATTTGGTCTTTTTTTCTCTTCAAATTATGGATCAGAAGATCAAATATCACTCTGTTACCAAATCTTGAACACAAGTAGGGGGGGGGGGGGAGGAGGGGGCCATAAGCCTCCTCTTAGGAATGCACTGCCTGGTCAAATGAGCTGCTTCCAGTGGATATGTGACTGAGTATGTGAATGAATAATGTGACCAGAGGTTTGCATTGAAAAGCACTGGCTGTTCAAGTAGATACTCAACTCCTCACTCTACCCCCCTCAAAAAACAATCCGTTACAGACCCTTCCAAAATATTTTTGTTCTTTTTACAACTTGTTCCCTGTACATTTGTTAAACTACACTTTGTATTATGGGAGAACCGAGTCTCAAACTAACAAAAATCATTGGCGATTTTGCAATCTTTATACAGGATTTTAAAAAAATCAACCCTTGATTCAAAATATACTACACTGCTAATAGTTGGATTCGGGATCACCTAAAGAACATATCCCTCCGTCTCTGCATATCTGACCGAGTCCTCCCTATCACACTGATGGCCTGAATGTTCTGCACCTCGCTCACCACTGGGGTAGTCGTCGAGGACTGTTTCTCGCTCTCTGTCTGGCTTTCCGTATCGGGTGCCGTCACAGTGTCCACACTCTCTTTTGAGTCGGTACTGGGCTCTGGCAGTGACGCAGTTGGTGCCACAGTTTCTGGTTGGCTTTCTTTAGTTTCCGGATCTGGAGTAGGATTTTCAGAGATGGGTGTATCTTCGGCTGGCTTGGGCTGGGCCTCGGTACTGGCCTCTGCCTGCTCAGCACTGGGTGGTGTTTCACACGGCGGTTCCGCTTCAGTCGATTTTAGCTCGGCGGTTGCCGTTTCAGAATGCTGTACTTCGCCGGTTTCGGTTTGTACTGGTTCTGATTCTGTAGGAAGAGTAGGTGGTTCTTCTTCATCCCTGACTGGGGTTGAGCCCGTTGGGGACTGCCCCGGCGTTAGGCCGGGGGAAAACTCTGACGGGCTCTGTTCAGATATTTCTGGTTTTGCCTCGACAGTGGCTATGGTCTCTGAGGTTGTCTCAGCCGTGTTTTCTGGCTGTTCGTCTACTGGTTCCTGCTTCACGATTGTCTCTGCAGCTGATACACTCTCGGAAGTTGTTTCCACTCCTGGCGCTGGCTCAACCGCTGCAGTGTCCTGAGCAACAAGCTGTGCGTCTTCAACTTCCATTTTCTCCTCAACTGCTGCATCTTGTGGATGATTTTCAACTGCGTCGACCTCCATTTTGACTTCGGGGTCAACGAAAGGCTCCGCCTGTACTCCGCTTACCTCAGTTGGTTCTTGCTTTACAGTCACGCTAGGTTCAGCAACTGTAGCAGTCTCCATTGGTTGATCCACCTCTTCCGCTGCAGTTGAGCTCTGACTGTCATTGCTTGTGCTTGTCTCCATTTTAACAACAGTGTCTGCTGAAGGCTCGTAGGCGACTTGAGAGTCCGCTGACTGCGTGGTTGATGCACTGCTATCATTCAGTGGATCCGCTGATTTTTCTGCCGGCGTGGGTTTCAATTCCACAGCCGCTGAAGCGCTTTGTGGACTTTGGCTGACTTCTGGTGGATCAACTGGTTGAGCTGTTGACGTAGGTGGAGTAGTGGATGGCTTGACGTCACCTCCGACTTCTCTCTTTACGTCTGTTGTCTGGGCTGCTGACTGGGGTTGCTCAGCGGTCGGGGAGCTCGGCTCGTTGTTGTTGTCTTTCAGGTTCGTCAGCTTCTCCGCTGATTGTGAAGCTGCTGATGCACCTTTCTGAGAATACGCTGATAACGGACTCCACGTCACATCAAATGAACTGTTCAGTCCATCCTCGCCTGGGGTTGGGGTTTCCAGAAGAGCAGCCTGTCAAACAAAACAAAAACGCAAATTTTGAATCCTTTTTTTCTTAAATCATGAAGCAATTTTTATATTTTTGTTCAAATGCCAAATTTATACGCTGAAAGGTTTTGGGACTGTCATAATAGTATCCTAAGTTTGAAGTTTAACCAAGTTTTCTTTAAAGATTCTCCGTTCTTCTGTATTGTAGCGACAATAACAACAAATTTATTAATAATATTTGGAGACGTGTGGTCATCAACTTACGTCTTTTGCGTCCTCGTAACAGCCAGGGTGAAAGGTCTGAAATGTAACAAAAAAGAAAAGAGGATTTAATAGTCAACAACTACAGCAAGACATCTATACATTGCAACCCACTCAGATTTGTTATTTCAACATTTAAAAAACTTAATGAAACTTTCCCGAACTTGGTTTTCTGAGACAGTATTTCTTCAACTCGCGGTAAAGATATTCCTCGATGCTACAAATGAGTTAATAAACTTACCCTCCTGTTGAACCTGATGGCATCCTTCAACTTCCACACCTCCTCGTCCTCATCGAAGAACTGCTCAAACGGCTCATGGCACAGACTGCACATCTACAACACCAACAAAATGGGATAACAAGTATTTACATCTGTTCAAACATCTTAAGCTCACACTGCCCCCCCCCCTTTCCAAAAAAAGATGAAAAAAAAGAAAGGAAAAGCAGTGGAGGAGGGGGCAAAAAATAGGAAAATGGTGCAGAAAAACTCAGCAAAAGCCAGCCAAACCAACCCTAGGCAGCTGAACCCCCTCATGATCCAAACCTGGATCCGCCCACGAAAAGGTGTAAACCGAATAACGTAAGCCCTACTGGCATAAACCGACACATCGGCCGAGTTTTTAAAATGTACAAAAAATGATATCTACAAAATCCTCGCAATTGAAAAATGTGTAACCATCTCTCAACGTTGCAACAATAGGGGTAATCAGAACTCCCCTACACCACGCTCCGGTAATCAACAGAATAGAAGAGACGATTGCAACGCCTCCCCAAGAACCGGTCTGTTCCCGTCGCCCATTTTGAGCTGAGGAAGTGACCCGGATAGGTTGTGAAACTGTTTTCTTAACAAAATTCCTCAGTTCCCTTTCCCAGCCACTCCCCCTCCCCAGCCCCCAAAGGTGGAAATAAACCCAAACTACAGGGTGGTGCAAAAAGAAGGAAACCCACTTTTGACAGGAATTTTAACCTACTTACTTAACTTATCTGAACTGTTGTTTTTTTATAATGTATTGAAGTATAGCTCTTCACCCATATCTTTAAAACAATTGCAAGGATAGTGTTAGTATGCTAATTTGAATACAAGTCACTAAAATCACTGTTGTCCACATGTAAGTCTAGTGTAGTGTTTTTTTGTTTTCAAATCAAACTCCGGAGCTCAGTCAAGTGGATGGAATAAAGCCGTCCGTGGACAAACAGGTTTGGCACATGAACATTTTAAACTACCATATCTCAAAATATGCATTTGCAATCAGTTTTTCATCACTTATGTTTAAAGATCAATATTTTAATACCATTAATTAATATGCTCAACAAGTAGGTGAAAATTGCTGTCAAAAGTGGGTTTTCTTCTTTTTCAATTTTGCATCACCCTTTGGCTAAGCTCTCCCACCCAAACCCCTGGAACATCCAGTGATTTTTTTAGTTTGAAACTGATTTTCCTTTTACGACATACCTCATCGCCTTCAATGCTTGCATCAATGGCCACACAGTGCACACCGTCTTTGTCAGTTTGGTCATTCAACAACGCCAGGGACTCAAAGAAGTTACTCCTCTCTGCATTCAAAACCACCATTTCAAGAGAAAGAAAAGCATTATAGTCCATGTGGAATACATTTTGGAAGGCCAAGGGGCACTTGAAATAGTCTGGAAAATCTGAACTGAATGAGGGGCTGCATTTGGCGATAGGCGGGCGGGAACATCCGTGATTTTTTTGTTTACATTGGCTTATCTAGCTCCCAGACTTATTTACTTAAATTTCAATGGTTCTTGAGTCTGGAGTGCTGAATGGTAACACATAGCAGCTGATGTAACGCATGTACTAATGAAAAGATGTTTTCGTCAACTCGGCTGATTTTGAGGTAATGCTGCCTGCGCCTATCTGACCCTTTCAATGCTAGCTTGTAAACAATCACAGAGGCAAATGGCTTAAATTACATTTATTTAGGACAAAGGAATGTGACGCATAATTTAAACCAAACTAGTTTTACCAACATCAATTTTAATGAATTCCTTGATGCAGTATGGATCAATGCAAAAGATTTTGCAGGTTGTGAACAGATGAACTGAATTAGTCCTAACTTTTTCAGAACTGCTGTTGTAAAAAGCCTTCACTAAATCCTTCCCATGTGTTTAAAATTGAAAATATACAAATTATATTTACAGAGTTGGGCTTACCTTCCACCAATTCGTTGATTTCTTCAAAATTTAGCCACTGGTCCACCTCGTAGAACCACTTCCTGTTCTGGGCGGCCTTCATGCCGTCTTTGTCCCGACGATTTTGACGGAAGTGCCAGTCCAGATGCTTGCGATATCTGCGAGCCAAATGAAAAAAAAAATAAATAAATACATAAAGAAATAATCAATTTGAACAGTAAGAACACAGAGACATGCTAGAAGCATCATGTATTCATTTGCAGTTTTTATCTCCAAAAATGAATTGATAAAAATTTTACGGAAGAATACCTGTCCATTTCGTCGACAACAAAGCGCATACCGCAAGATGAACACTGCGTGCCTGTGTAGATGCGATTGATAACACCCTCGTACCGACTGAAACAAAGTGAAAGTTACAAAAGTATTAACTACAATGCCCTTGGGCACGCCATTTCACCCAAACTTGCCTCTTTCTACCCAGGAGTGTAAATGGGTACCGGCATTAGCTGGGGAGTAACCTGTGATGGACTAGCATCCCCTCCAGGGGGAATAGAGATATTCTCAGTTGTTTCATGCCACGGAAACCGGAGACAAACGCCGGCCTGAGGGGCCATATTGGCTTGTAACAGACTTACTTATAAACTAGCATTGTAGCAATGTACAAAAGACGAGTAACAGCAACAATTATTTTTTTCTCCATGTTCAAAGTCTTTCAAAGAATTGTTACTGTTTACCTGAGTATTTTCCCTTACCATTTGAGTTCCTCTGGGTAGAGTCCAAGCTCTGGTACAAACAGATCCTCATTCTCTGCAGGTTCAACGGGGTCTGGTTCCTCCTTGGGCCCTGTGGGGGGCGGCGTTTCTGTACCCTGCAAAGCCAAACCAACAACGACTGAAGTTTCTCAACAACTCCAATAAAAATATTTGATTGATTATAAATCACGTAGCCTTTTTGAGATACGGCACACGATAGCACTCATTGGTTTGGAAAAATGTCGGTAAAGACAAGAGTTTACCCCTTCCAAATAGCGCCCTCCTAATACGTCTCAATTTCTTTGCTATATTATAACGTACCTAGTCAGTTACCCTTTTGTGGTTTATTTGAAAATTTGGAATAAAAAGCTGTATCATCTCTGAGTGATTCCCATTTGCTTTCTCCCAGGTTTGCAGCATTGCTAATGTTGCTAGCATCGTGACTTTGGCTACATGACATATACAGGTTTATGGCTTCTGACTAGCACCCCTTGAACAAAGACATTGAACAAATTAGGGACCGCCAACATAGGGCTGGATAGCTCAGACGGTAGAGCACCAGAGCAGCAATCTAGAGGTCGCAAGCTCTAACCCTGTTCCAGTCAATCGTTTTGTTCAACTATAAAACAAATATACCTCAGAAAAATTAATAACTGAGCCTAATATTGACATCGGTGTTTGCGAGTTACCCACGCCACTTAGACAACCCTATGGAGTTTTTGTACACTGAGTTTTGTTTGTCTCAGATTTTGCGCCTTCCGCGTCCATCTGTATATCACGTAAATATTTCACAAGCTGAGTTGACGTGATTCTGACGCGATTCTACCGCGATAGGTTAATTATACGGGTTCTAAGGTGATCAGTCACTTTTAGCATATTCAGGAGTCCAGTTCTATAAAGTTCTAATTTAAAATCTCTATCAAACAGCATTTTGACGTTTTTTAAAAGGCTCTCTGAACTCACTTGTGCCGAACAATGCATTATTGGGAATGGCAAGTACCTTGTGATTACTTACCTGTACCACTGGTGAGTCGCTTCTAGTGGGGGGAAGGATTCCTGTTGACACCAGCTTGGCAAAGAGTGAATTGATGTCCAGAGGTGCTACGGGCGGAGGGGGTGGTGTTCCTGTCCAGACAGAGAATGAATCAAACAGGCTTCAGTTAAGTTAAATCCAGACTCTGCTTTAGCAATTCTGCAAGGTTGACCTTGACGGTTTGAAAGTGACTGTCCCTATGGAAGTTGGGAAACTTTTCTTTATGATCTCCGTCATTACTGTTGGCCACAAAGATCTATGTAATGGATTTTAGCACATCTGTCTAATTTACAATCTTTTCCAGCTTTTATTGCCTTTCAAGACATTTTCAGAGGTCCTCCAAATGGTCATTTAAGCTTAACTACAAAACTAATGTTTTTAGATTTTACAAGGACAATCACAAATGATGTTCGCTTTTCCTTTCCACGTCTTTTAGGTTTAAAACGATCAAAATGTAATAATACAGCATCGCAAATTTAACTGAATACTACTAACCTTGAGGATTGTCTGGCCGAATAAGGTGTGGTGCTCCCATCAAAGCAGGATTAGGCATCCCAGGAGGAGGTTGAGAGAAGCCCCTCAGGTCCAACAGCTGCTGGCCTTCAAACTCTGGCCTAACACCCGGGGCGTGCTGGGGGAAGCCTTGCGGCATACCAGGTACAAACACGGGCCTCTGCTGCCCAGGGACGGCCATCATCAGTCCGCCTGGCTGCCCAGGGTTGAAGAAAGTGGGCCTAGGAGCATTCACATGAAGACCTGTCGTCTGGATCATGCTGCTTGGAGGGATGACGCTGCTTGGGGATTGATTCCCTGCCCAAGGATGGGAACCATGCCGAGGTTGGGCACTCCAAGGCCTGGAGGAATATTTATGGCAGGGTTTATGGATGGTAGAAGCAGAGCCCCGGAATGAGGTACAGACACTAAGGGTTCTGTAGATGCTGGAGGTTTACCATGAATCTCCACTGGCAGGGATACTGTTAAATGCTCTGCAGACCTGTCAAGACAAATCAGAGAAAATATTAGTAAAATCTAGAACCTTGGAACAAACTTTCATTACAGAATTTGCAACAGTTGATAATTCAATTATTTGTTAGTTAAAACTGTGTCAGTTTTAAATTGGATTTTTGAACTTTTTTATTTAGCAGATTTTAAGGTCACAATTGGGAGCAATAACTTACTTTAGGTCCTTCAGTTGAGACAGGCGATCATCCTTGTCCGTTTGGGGCAATGGTCCAGGGCCCTCCCTGGCAGGTCCTCCTCTTGGCGGACCTCCAAATCTCTCCATGGGCAATGGGGCTTCTCCAGGGAAGTCTGTTGTTAAAGGTCTTGGTTGCATCTCCTTGGGTGGTACAGGATATCTTTCTTCTCTGGGATCACGCAGAGGGCCATGTGGATCACGTGGAGGGCCATGTGGATCACGTGGTGGGCCATGTCTCGGGTCCCAATCTTCCTCAAAATCTCTAAGGGGGCCATCTCTTGGTAACGGTCTAGGGGGACCTTCCCTAAATGGTTCACCTCTTGGCGGGCTCCTCCTGAAGGGACCATCTCTTGGTTGACCTCTAAACGAGCTGTCTCTAGGAAGACCATCTCGGAGTGGACCTTCGAATGGAGGACCTTCCCGGATCAGGCCTTCTCTGAACGGTCTTTCATGGGGTGGCAGTCGTCCTTTGAAGGGCTCATCTCCTGGTGGAACATCTCTAAGAAGGCCTTCTCTTGGTGGACTACCCCTTGGTGGGCCATCCCTGAATGGACCCTCCCTGGGAACCCTTCGACTGAATGACCCATCTCTAGGTGGCCCATCTCTGAACGGCCCATCTCGTGGTGGTTCATCTCTAAACGGCCCATCTCGAGGTGGCCCATCTCTGAATGGCCCATCTCGAGGTGGCCCATCTCTGAACGGCCCATCTCGAGGTGGCCCATCTCTGAACGGCCAATCTCGAGGTGGACTTTCTCTGTATGGGCCCTCTCTCCGAGGTTCATCTGGCAGCATACCTTCTCTTGGGGGACCACCTCTAAACAACTTATCCCTAATTGGGCCGTGTCTTGGATGTCCTTCTCTGAATAAGCCTTCCCTTGGATGACCTTCTCTAAAAGGTCTTTCTCTTGGTATGTCATCCTCATATGTGTTCCATTCTGGAGGGCCCTCTCTGAATGGACCTTGTCTTGGCGGTCCATCTCTGAAGGGGCCATCTCTGAATGGACCTTCTCCTGGATGAATATCTCTAAAATGGTGTTCTCGACCATTTTCATCTCTGAAGAAGCCTTCTCTTGGGGGACCCTCTCTAAATGGACCATCTCTTGGACCTCCCCGTAGTGGACCTTCTCTTGGTGGACCATCCCTGAAAGGCAATTCCCTTGGAGGGCTTCCTCTTGAAAGATGATCCCTCGGGGGTTCTTCCCGGAAAGGTCCTTCCCCAGGTGGTCTATCTCTAAAAGGACCCTCTCTAGATAGTTCATTAGGATGTCGGTCCATGTATGGGTGATTTCTTGGCATGGATTCTCGATATGCATCTCTTGAAGGAAAATCTCCCAATCTTTCATCTCTCAATTGGCCTTGTCTTGGAGGCATATCTCTTGGCTCCATTTCAGGGGGACCTTTACGAAGTCTTGGATCCCTCGGAGGACCTTCTCTGATTTGATCCATTATTGGTGGACGATCCCTGCGTATGCCCTCTTTGTAAGGACCATCTCTCGGTGGACCATCTCCAGGAGGCCCTTCTCTAGGTTGCATTCTGCCTCTTTCAGCACGGTCTTGATTGACTTGATGTCCTGGACCCTGACGCTCATCACGATCTTTTCCAGCCGGGAATAAGTCCTCTAAATCATCTGCTTCTCTGAATGGAGCAGGAAGCACATTAGCTGGTTCATTATCTGTTGAATTTCGGCGCTCGTCCATGTCCATCAATGGTTGGACTTTCTTCTCATTGAAAACTGGGGGTTTTATTTCAAGATTCTCCTCAAATGCTGAGACTTCAACGTGGACCTCAGCTTCATTGCCTGCGCCCTTCTTTTTCTTCTTCTTGTTTTTCTTCTTGCCTTTACCCTTTCCAGCCACACAAGTGTCTTTTGTTTCAATTACCTGTGGTGCAATGGTCTTAGTCTCATCTGAGACAGGAGACTCTTGGTCTTTAGACACCATTGCAGGCTTGTCTTCCTGCCCAGACAGATTGGCTTTTTCTGGAGTCCCTTCAACAACTGTTTTGGTCACTGCATCGTTGCCACGTTTTTCCTCAGGCTCCGGTGACAAGGGACTCTCAAGTGGTACCGACTTTCCTGTTTTCAAAATGGACTTGAGAGGTGCTGATGGGAGCACATTCTTAGCAGGCGGGCCTCTTACTCTATCGTCACGATCCTTATGGACGGGATTCCTGGTCCTTTCATCCTGGTCAGTACTGGGCAGCTTCAACTGCTCATCTGTGTGTGGTTTTGCACCCGATTTCACTGGGTCCTCGCCTCTAGACTTGGACATTGCAGCATGCATCGGGTGTGCGGGGTCAAAGACTCTCATGTCCACATCCTGAGCCGATGACCTCCTGTGGTCTATGTCCTTGTCTGGTGGCCACACGCCACCTTGCCTGTGACTTGTATGCCAACTCGGATGATGACGCATTTCGGGATCATCCGGGTAGTGCTTTCTGAAAGGCGGATCATGGGGGTGCTGCTGCATGTACTCATCGTCCTTCTGTTGTCTCTGGATTTGGTGCAACTCAAACAACTCCCGCAAAAGCTCTTGATGCTGCTGGTGGGTCAGCTCGCCAGAATGGAGTTGCTTTTCTGCCTGCATTTGAACAAGGATGTTGGACAAAGTGATCTTGTTAAAAAAGAAAAGGCCGTAAAAAACTCTTTGCACAACTTATGCCAATGCAATTAAACTCAATAAACCCAAACTACAGTTGAAATTTTGGCTCAAGTCTGAAATAAATATCTTTCATTTTTCACTCCAAATTATCTATCCTCCCAAAGAATTCAAGAAACATAAGGCAAAGTTGGCTTACAATTTGCTGGTCTTAAAGTGGATATGGAGAAACACCATCAATGGGTGTTTAAGCCAGCACACAAGCCCAGTTCGTTCTTAAGGGTACTTCCATTATACCACCTCAGCGCTTACCTGCTGTAAAATGAAGGCATGCTTTTCCAGCGACAACTCCTTTGGAATGTGGACGTTCGGGTCAATGCTGAGTCTTCGTCTGGACGGCGGCCTGTCCCGCCATCCTCCAGGAGGGGACATCATTTCTCTCTCATGCTCCAGTCGATCACGGGGATGAGGATGGTCTTTTCTCCATCCACCAGGCTCAACGGCCAGGCGTGGCGGTGGAAGTTCCATCAGTGGGCGCGGTCGCGGGTGCTTATCGCCTGATTTGTCTTCGCCTTTGGCCTTCTTCTCCTTTTGCTGATTGTCCTTGTCTTTAGTTTCAGGATCCCTGATAAAACGGTTAAATTACAGCAAAATACATTAATGTCAAAATCACATGGTTAAAGTTTGACTACAATATTTCAGTCCTCTTGTACGTGTAATAAATATTGGATGGCTTTGAGGGGGATACAAGAATATATTGCATGAGCTGTAACAATATTGCTCGAGTCAAAGACAAGTGCAATATTGTTATAGCGAGTGCAATATATTCTTGTATACCCCGAAAAAAAGCCATCCAATATTTTTATTATTGTTTATATCAGGCTGTCTTGATCCGAAATAAATAAATTTTATGTCGCTGTCTTGTAAAAATTGCCAACTGCCGACCGCTTTCTCAGTAACAAAATACGAGCTCGTGAAAGCTTTTCCAGCATCTCTAAATCTTTCAGTAGCTTTTTCTCAGGCAGATATCATCACGGAATATTTACTAGTGTCATCTTGGTTGCGTTCTAGGTATTTTCCTTTAAACTTTCTTTAAATTCTTCTTCAGAAACTGAAGCCAACATCACGCCGCTTGAAGCAGCGATTTTTTTTTTACAAAAACTTAGTATCGAATTCTACGGTCTTGATTGTGTGGGAACCAGCAAATTTGTTAAAAAGCCCGGATGAACACAATATCTCCAATAATATTGTCCTCATCCGGATACTTTTACTGATATATTACAGTCACCTGGGACATTTTTTAGCATACAATAGGCCGATATATTTTTACCACTGAAAGCATGATATCAATAATAATATATCTTATGGCCTTCAAACTGTAAACCTAAAAACTCATGTGCAAAAGCAACAAACACTACATATTTATTTGCCTTCAGTGCATGACCTAATATGTTTATTTATGAACATTTTAGTTGATTGGGTGGACTGTGACAAAAACGGAAAGGTTTTACTCTACTAAAAGTGGGATATTATGGAGTACTTTTAAAAACTCAATACTTCATGAGCCATCAAAACTTAAATAAAAGACCATTTCCTCCAGTTTGCTTGGTGTAGATTAGCCACACCAAAACTTCCTGCAACCTTGTGCTGTAAAAAAAAACACCACCAAATTCTGACTTACTTTTTGGGAGGTGGTGATTTGTCCGGTGGCGTTTCTTCGTCCAACCGCGGTCGCTTACTAGGTGCCTCTTCTTTCAACTGGGTTTCTTTGTCAGTTTCATTATCCGGAGAAGGTGACCTTCTTTTCTCTGATTTCCCCTGATTCAGTTTGTTCTCTGCTTTGATATCTGGCACGTTTTCTTTACTACTACGTCTCGATTTCACCCGTTCATCAATGTCTTTCTTGCAACTTTCATCAGTGTCTTTCTTGCGGCCGTCGTCTTCTTTCTTGCGACTGTCAGGGGCCGGTTCTGGTTTCTTTTCCTCCTTTGTTTCTTTGACAGGGCGAGGCAAATCCCGACCAAATTTGTCCACCTTTGGGTCTGCACGTGAGGTTGCGCGACTCTTATCGGATCCACGTGGGGAGCGTGATCTAGAAACTGGTGATCTTGATCGCGAGCGAGACCTGTTGGATCTGCGTCTGGAGATCGCCAGCCTGGATGGTTCCCTGGAGCCGCCGACCCTGTCTTTGGGTCGGTCATGGTAGTCTCTGTCCCGTTCCCTACTATCCCGTTCCCTGCTGGACCAGCTATCTCTTTTATCAAAGTCCTTCTTGGAGTCCCTGCTGGTCCTTCGCTCTGGTTCCCGGGAGCTTCTGGAGTCTCTGCTTTTGCTGTCGCTTCTGTTATCCTTCTTCTCGTCACTTGAACGGCGGGGTGATCGATCGTTGGATTTCGTGTCCTTTGATTTATCTTGTTTGGCAACTACCTCTGGTTTGGGCTTCTGGCCCTCTGATTTAGACTCCGTTGCTTTTGTCTCTTTCGGCTTGACCTCTGATTTTGAGTCATTCTTGTCGCTTGGCTTTGTTTCTGGCTTATTGTCGGGCTTTGTTTCTCGTTTCTGGGCAGCTTGCTGCTTTGTGTCTTTGGCTTTACTGTCTTTAGCAACCTTTCCTTTGGTTGGCGACTTGGGAGTTGGTTTGGAGCTAGGCTGTGATGGTGCGACAGTGACCACGCTTCTCAGTTGCTGATTAGAAGTGGCCTGTGAGGTGTCTTTTAAGGTAGCTTGAGGCACGGACGGTGGATTGGCGACTGCAATGGCAGGTGTCTGTGCTGTGCTTTGGACCGGGGGTACAGTGGCAACAACTGGAGCAGCTTGAGCAATAGATGCAGGAACGGCGGGGGTGGCATCTGCAGCACCTCGAATCCTTGGATCACGACGAGCAAGTCTGGGATCACGAGCAATGCGAGGGTCTCGGGTAACCGATGCCGCCTTAGGGCCCTAGACGTCAAACCATTGAAAAAAAAAGGATTTTAAAGTTTGGAAAATTGTGATATAGATCAAGGCATTTTTGAGATCTATAAAATAACAATGCTGGAAGAAAGTCACACCCCTTTTTATAACTTTGCTTGAAAGTTCTCAAGTACATTGTGTAACTTTATAGAACTCTTCATTTTCAAAGAGACAAAACAGGATAAAACGTCCTATAGACACTTTTTTTTTTTTTTCACCAGGTCAAGTTTCATCCATTTTCCGAGCAGAAAACATTGCTTAAAATTCTGGGAAATAGCATACAAAGACTGACAACCAATCCAAATGCTAAATGTGTCAATTAAAGATATAGTCCATCATTTGTAATTTGTGCATTTTGTTCGTTTAAAGCAACAAAAGTGTTCAAAATCTAATGAAGGATACTGAACAACTAACCTGATGAGGTTTCAGTTCAGCTTCAGCTGTATATTCCGAGAAAAACAGCATTCTAGGATCTCAATTTCAAATCAAAAGTTGCTGAATCATGTTTTGAATTGTTTTGAATTGCAGCTATACGCGATGTCGCGCACTGATCCGACGAATTATAGCAACCGCGCGCGCCTGTGCGTCGTGCCAATGCTTGCGCACGCTGCGCCGAATAACAAAACAAACTACTAATTTAAATTTTCCTACGGTTAAGACGCACCGTTGGAAAGGCCTTCTTTCGTTGATTACTTCAAAATGATAGCTTGCCAGAAAGATTAATTTCACAGGGAGTTTAGTCCACTTACTATCTTTCAACCAAGTATGTTTTTCAACAATATTACGCCAGTTACTTTTTCGGATGGCTGCAAATGATGGACTATAGCTTTAAATATTTCAAATTGATGTGCTGTACATGTATTTCCATTACAACCCTGCTTACTGGAAAGTGGCCACCCAGCAAGCTAGCATACTTTACTAACAGCTACAATGTAAGGCCACTAGGAATTATGTTAGTAAATGAAGGTAAAAAAAGACCAGTTCAGCAAAATCTTCAACCACGACTCACCTGTTGGGCTGGTGGAACCTGTTGGGCTGGTGGTACCTGTTGCATTGGGAGAACAGGCTGCATGGGCGGTGCAGCCTGCGGGTTAACCAAACCCAATGGCGGCACGGGTGGCGGCGGCAAATACACTTGCTGCGGTTGCCTGTGACGTTGCTGCTGCTGCTGCTGCTGCTGGTTGTGCATGGGCATCATAGATTGGTCATGAACCATCGGCATAGGGGGTCCGGGGCCATTGTGACCTGGAAGCATGGGCGGTCCGTTGTTTCCAGGCAGCATGGGTGGTCCACCGGGCCACATGAGAGGTGGTTGCTGAGGAGGGACACCTGGCCAGGTTGCTGCAGCGGCAGCTGCTGCTGCTGCGGCTGCCTGCTGTTGCTGCTGTTGAAGAGATTGCTGCTGTTGAAGGGACTGCTGCTGCTGAAGGGCTTGCTGCTGGAATAAGAGCTGCTCATTTTTCTGCTTGAGCTCAAGAGCCTAAAAAAAAATTACGCAACAATGCCGAGTAAGTTTCAGAAGGAAGCTTAGATAATGAAACACAAATAACAACTCTCACCTTGCAACTGCTGACGGACCAAATGTCCATCAACCTGCTGAAACCTTTAAAGTTATTGACAATTTGACATGACATTTAAACTGGGACAAATCAAACTCAACTGGAAGGTACAGGTAAAGCATTACATTGAGAGGCAGGGAGTGGGAAGAAAGTGCACCTACATCAGACTAATGGACATTTCTGCACAACCATGGGTCTTGGCCAGTGTTGAAGTCAAGACCCTGCAAGACCATCACAAGACCATCACAAGACCTTCAGTCTCAATTCAAGTCACAAGCTATTCAAATGAACTGCAACAAAGGCATTCCTTTGTCACTGTTACTTGTGGCTGGTCTTGTGGCTGGTCTTGTGATGGTCTCGACTACAACACTGCTCTTGGCTGGACAAAAGATCATGAGGTAAGATTTAATTTATTGGTCTATTCGGGACAAAGGCCTGTCCTGTCTCAAAGTTTCAGGAGTTTTTTTTTATTCAAACTGCCAACGGATGGCAAATACGGACCTGTTCCTCCAGCTTGCTCTGGGTCTGCTGCAGCTCAAACTCCAGCCGCTTCTTCTGCAGGTCCAGCAGCTGCTCCTGCTTCTTGATCAGCTGCTGCCTCATCTCCATCTCCTGCCGCTCGCTCTCTTTCTTCTTGCGCTCGGCCAGCTCCACCGCTGTCAGCTGTATGCTGGTGGTGGTCAGTTGGGTAGCGGTGGCGGCTGGCTGTGATGTCTTGGGCGTAGCATCGGCCTGGGGCTTTGGGGTATAGGGAAGAGAGCAACTGGGTTAATTAGCTGATCTCAATTCTCAGATCTTGAAACCCTAGTTTAACGGCAGTGGCACGGCCAGATTTTTTTGGAGGGGTGGGGGAGGGCTGAGGTGGGAGGGGGTAGGGTGGGTGGCCAGCATCCCTTAGGAGACCTCTTCCACTTTCAAGGCACAACTTTTTGGTTCAACTCAAAGCAGCCAAGGGGCCATTGTGATGGTGGTAAAGGGGTAGGGAAGGGGGGGGGGGGGAGTTGGGTTATGCAACCCCCCCCCTTCCACAAACAGCCTAAGCCAATATTTTACCTTGCAAAAAAAATGCCATTCTTTATTAGGACGACGGGGTGAATTGCTCATCTAACAGTTTTGTGGCCACCTGTCGTGTACAGTGACCCGTAACTGCCCCAGTGTCGCAACAAAGAATTTGGTTTTCTTTCAGTTCACTGTAATCCCCTCCACATCAGATTGTTTTTAATTATATTGTAATATAATACTTGAAACCAGAAAGAAGGGGGCGGAGCATAGAATATGGAGGGGGCGATTTCAACTTTTTTTTCCCTTTCGGAAACAGAAATACCAACACTTTTCCCTTTTAAATCCAAATCATACACTTAAAAACGAAGTACAAAATCAAAGTAACTCACCTTTTTAATAAACTTGGGGTTGACATGAATAGCTGCTGGCTGGGTGGCGGTGGGGTCAGCAACCACTGGCCATGCCGGGTCCAACTCCTTGACCTTGAGGTCCATGGCGTACAGCTTCTTGGGGTTGAAGAAGCTGGCCCAAGTCATCCGCAGTTTGAAAAGGGACTGTCTGGTTTTTTCGTCGACCTGGCATTCATTCACAATGGGCAAATAGGTGAAGGTCAAAGGGGTACAAATTTGGTCATCTTTACACAATAGCTAAATATGGCCAAAGCCAAACTGTTTGCTAGCTTGAGAAAAGTTTTTTTTCTTAATTTTTTAGAGGGCTTCCCTTTTGAGGCATGAACTTGATTTCTCTGGAAGACGAGTTTGGGTGGGTTTTTTTTCTGTGATGTTTTCACAGATCAATAGAGTTTGCAACTTGCAAGGCCAAGGAAGGGAGTGCCTTCCAAAAAGGTCAGAGATCCAATGAAATGTTATTCTTATTCTAAGACCCCTTCTCTCACAAAACTCTGCCAGCATTGTCAGCGCTTTTTTATCTTTTTTTTTTCCCCGGGGAGAAAATAGGAATTTTATGGGGTTACGAAAGTTTGTGCAAAGTGCTGGAAATGTAACCTTGTGGTGATAGGAGTTGGGTTGTGAGGTTTAAGGGGGGGGGGGGGTGTTGATCAATGTGTCTAGGATCTTTCCCAAGTTCTACATTTTAAACCCCTTTCCTAACTCTTCCCTACCCAAAAATTTCCCATGCTTCCCTTCCAACAAGATGCTCAGCGACAGTCACAAGAGTGTCTACAAAGATTAGGTAAGACTCGCCAAAGCTTAAGTGGGACAACAAATATCGACCATAAAAGTGGACATGCTAGCACAGGTTTGACAAAATGGGGAAAAAACTACATAGAATCAGCCACTTCATCAACTCAGAATAATATCCTTTTTTACTTCTTTTCTGAGTAGGGGAAGGGGGTAGGTTTTTGGGCCCGTTTTATTGACAACTTGGACAATTTTTGTTCCCTAAAGCAGTCACGAAAATAAAGTATGAAGTACAGGTATGTCAAAACGCTACCCTCTTCCCCATCTGATCAGACTTTATAAACATAACTAAAATAAAATCACTTTATTTGACAAACAAGTCCAAAACGCTGGTTACTGCACTATTAAAAATGGTTAAACATTAAATACCAAAGTATAAAAGATAGTGCTTAAACTTTAAACAAAAAGTTAATATTTATAACTACAGTTACAACTTGTGATTTTTTTACTTACAAACAAAAAGCTGTTCAATCATTCACATCTTCTCAGTTCAAAGATGCTTTAAATAATTATGTTACAAAGAAATTTAAGCTGTAACCATAAGTTGCCACAGATGTCTAACCTTTTCAAACACACTGCAGAATGTCTGTACAATATTCGGGGTAAACGCCTCGAGATAAGCACCCTTCATGTTCTTGATGATCGAATCCATGAGGTACAGGACAGGTAGTTTTTCAGAGGGTTTGGCCTGCACAGACGAGGTGGGAGGAAAAAGTGGTCAACTAAAGCCCCTCTCACACTTATTTAAGAATATCCTACCGCTGCTTCTAAAATAAGGGGAAAGCATAACGCAGGGAAACAAAAATCGGCTTCAAAGTCATTCAGCGTCAAGTCTTTGATTGATTGAAGTTGCAAATTAGTTGCGGGATCCGACTTGATCAAGCGATGTCAGCGACTTTAACTGAGTAATGGACGTGGTGACATTGAGTTGGGGCAAAGTTAATATGCCAAACTCCATTTACATCACTTTCACATATCATGTGTTTCTGAGCATTCATGAGCATTTTTCGAAAACTTTGCAATGTCACTTTTTGAATAAAATTGACACCACAATTTCTCACATTTATACAATTCACTTAGCAGCTGAAGTCATGCTTTTCGCTTATCTTTCTCACCTATGAAGACCCAGTCAATTAGTGGACAGTAATTTGACTTGAGTTAAAATAAATTCATTGACTGTAATGTTCTCGAATCACGACTTACGTAAAAATTGCAACTCAAATCAATCTAAGAGATTTTGACATTTCTTTTTGACTTGTTTTTCTGTTCCAATTCTGGGCCGCTTTTTTTTTCTTAGATTGAGATTTTTTTTTTTTCAATGAGTTTTTCTTTCCAAGTGTGAAAGTGACTTTTAAGTACAGCGAAGAGAAAAATAATTTCTTGGTATCCTGCATCAAAGAAAATACATACATGGTTATTCATATGATGGATCGAGTCATTTGAAAATTCAATCTTCGTCCACTTTGACTAATATAAAATTGCCAAATTGATCAAAAAGTAATTGAAAGAAGTCTAGATTGGGGAAAAACTTCTTTTTTTTGGACACTGCAACACGTGACAATTGAAGGTACTTTCAAAGTAAAAACAAAAACATTTTTATATTGTAAAAATTGTTTCGAGACAGAAGATGCTATAGAAAAAAGTTGGAGATGAAATTAATTGGAAGGAGTGTTGATCAGAAAGGATGCAAGCCAAATCGCCTATCAACATTCTTATTTTTTTACAAAAGAACCAAAATTTCAATGCATATTTGATGCCAAAGAGAACTTTACAGGATTAGATTCCTCATTATTTACACAAGTTACAGGTTTCTTCCCAATCAAATGCTTAAGTCAGATGATTGGGATGGACCAGGCAGGTCAACTTAAAATTGGCACATTTCTCATTTGAAGCCATTTGCATTCATAGCCACCTAGGCTTCCAAAACAATGGAATATTACTTTACCAGCTTTTCCAATTCTCTTTTTTTTTTTTTTTTAGCAAATCCAACAATCATCCTTTTTTCTTACAAATTTAAGGAACTGAATTAAAATTTGCAGATGTGGCTGGTTTTTTGTGTGTGTGTGCAGCTGCTTGTCTACTAGCAGGTTGTCTACAAGTACCCCCCTACCCCCCCCCCCCTCTCAATAGTGGTACTGACAAAGTGCATTAATGAGCGCCACTGCTGCTGGGCATCCATGCTCGGGCGCACTCCTCCGATACAATACAGGGGTGCGAGTGACCTCTGACAAAAATAGCTGAAAACAGCTGAAAAAGGTGTGATACTATGGGTTGGGTGAACATTCCGAAAGTTGGTTGCATACACTCGGGGCAATACGCACTAAGGAATATTTGTCCTTGTACGCAGTATATTCCTGGTCACAGGGCCATCTACCGCTTCTGCAAGAACGCCATAGGCACTTCGCAAAACCTTTTTTATAAATTCAACTTGGTTACATTTCAAAATATTTTGACATATTCAATATTCAAGAGGTGCGAGTCTCTTCTATATTTAAAACCTCTCCTCGATGGACTGTTGTAACATGTACAGTGTTCTGAAAGGCAAACCCGATTAATCCTCTCTTGCACATTGCCGCAATTCAAAGCATTTATGTGCTGGTCGAAGCACAGAGCTGTCCAATTTTACATGAGGGGCGGTTGGTTGGATCAAAGCTTTTGCTTTTTTTGGGGGGGTGGGGCATTAGAATTTCAGGCAATTTGGTGTTCCTGATGACAAGTTTCATCTTCCACGTGGTCCCAGTTGATGAATCGGCTCTCCCACTTCTTGTCGATCCTGGAAAAGCTGGCATAAAGGTGACGTCCGTCACTCATCCATCAGGGGCACTGCACTCCACATCTCGACCCATCAGTGGCTCGCTAGTGACGTCTCCTCCATATGACCAGTTCTATTTTCTTAGGCATGAATCAAGTTTGTGGCAAGATTGCCCTGCATGGTTCATATTTGTTCATTTCACCTAAGCCACCGCACTCGTACGCATCGCACAAAACCGAAGAAAAAAATAAAGATCAAGCAGCGCCAAGACTTAGACAGGAGACAAAGATCAGAACCCGAGGGGAAAAGTTTTGCAAATGTTTTGAATGTTTTTCCCAACTGTTCCCGACTTTTCACACTCATGAATTGAAGGTGTCTCCGTTTTACATCTTAGCACTGCAACATCAACATAGGCACACAGTCAATACATTCACAAGTACCGCGCAGGCATTTGAGGCTAGTTCATTTGAGAGCTAGGATCCAGTTCTTTTTTCCATCAATTTCCTTTTTTTAAATTACTGAGACGTGGGGGATAATGTAGACGTTTTCAACGCGAAGGCAACAAAAATGCAGAGAGGGGAAACCGGGCTATTTGTTTTCAGAGGCAACTATACTTGAATTGTTTCACAACGCAGCCATTGTCAACATGTAACTTGTCAGGCTTAATTTTATATCATACAGTATAAATAATTATTTGTGCAAAAATTAACAATTTCCAAGCTGACATTTTTCGGCAAAAGAATTGCAACTTTAAATACAGAACATTTTAGTGCACTTTTGTAGACTTTTTGTACATAAAACTTTACTTGATCATTTAGCCTGATTTTTAACACCATAAAAACACCTATAATCAGCATCACCATGGCAACAAATCATCTTAAATTTCTGTTCAGACTTCAGATGCAACTCTGACATTATAAATGAACACATCAGCCACACTTGATCGAGCAGCATCACATTTTATTATTCAACTATTTCTCAAACTTTTGAAAACACATCTGCCATTTATCTGCCTTTCAACATCTTTAATCGTTAAATAATGGTAGAGGCTGGATTATCTTTACGAGTAAAATATAATTTTCAATGCAGTAAAACAGATGTTATTTCTAAACCCAAACAGTGACCTCATGTGAACTCTTTCTGAAACCCCTACGACGAGTTATTACTAGCCTATAATCATCAAAACTGGCTACATTTCTGGAATTCTTCTTCCTACCAACTGTATCTTTAGAATTAAAATTGTTTGAATAACCAGAGCAAGAATAAGTTTGAAATGATGGCCGATAAATTGTCCAAAAAAATGTAGCCCTCCCCCCCCCCCCCCCAAAAAAAACAAGTGAATATTCTTGTTGAGTTGTTCTTAGTTGAATTTTAAATAATTTTTTCCCATAAATCTTAAAAACATGATAATTATCTTAATGTTACTACGGTTGTTAGAGCTTATAATGTTAAAACAATAGGGGCCTACACATGAAAAATCAAAACTATCATCCAAATTTAGAGCAAGGTTGAAGGGCGCCCTCATTCAAAGAGATTTTTGGTCGCCATATTGAATTTTCAGAAAGTCAGAAACCCAACGAATATTCCTGAAATTTCATCATAATGGACACCGCCAAATGTGCAGATATTACAAAAATATCATTCTAGAATTAATATAGACGTGATCTATTCAAATCAAGTAACCTTCTGTAGTCGGGATTCGATGACCTCAACGATTGGCTTCGCGTATTTCACGTTCTCTTCGGCTAACATCGTCAACATGTTGATCAGCGGTTTACTGTTGAAAGTCAGGTCGGACAACGACGCCTCGTACTCTCGTTTTACTGCCTCCGCCATGATGAAAACCCGTTGAGCCTAGGCTATGAAGTGGCGAGAAGCGTTTCAATTAGAGGAAAATGGGAAAACTTTAGAAAACCATGAAAATTTGCGAGAAATATGGGGGATGTCGAGTGGCCGAGCCACGCCACTCAACGAAAAAATCCGTATTACGCCCGTCGCACTGACAAAGGCTTAGGCTATTTTACGCGATACCGGATTGGACAATTTCTTTAAAATAAATTTACATTGAAGATCAATTTTACTGTATTCTAATATCTTTTGTAACAAAAAAAAGTCTTTCAAAATAAAATATATAATCTAAGATATTATTATATCTCTATTTCGATTTAAATTCCATTTTTTTTTTAATTATTCATATAATGTTGTATTTAAAAATATCCAATCAAATTCTGTTTTCTTTGAAGTCGTCGCAAATAACGTTTCGTCAGCGCGTTGTCCATCACGTGATAATGAAGTCACTTTTTCCCAGAAGACAATGCGCCAGGGTCATTACAACTTCCGGGAAGTTAACCCGCAAAACAAATTGGGCGCAAGAGAAATAGAAAGACACCAGATTTTGACAGACGAGCACAGTGCTGGCGTTGTGACAAAAGTCTACATTGATACTGTCCTTGTTACTAACAGTTTGCGGGATGCGAGTTCTTGTGCCATTTTAATCCTGATGGTCTTTGTGTAAGACTCGCAGTCACTCACACGTGTGCGCGCATTGAGTTCCAGATAATGTAATGATGCAGAAAATGGTGAGCCAGGCTGCGCGCGGAAGCTTGGCCTCGGACTTCGGAGTCGGAGTCGAGCTTCAATCAGTCATTTGTCTCGTGCAATATTTTCTTGCCATGCCCATCATGTGCCATTCTGTCCACAGATATTAATTAACGTAGAACTGATTACATGATTAATTTACGTTCTTCTTGCATAACCAAGTGAACTTTGTCTTTTTTCAGATGTCTATTTTGCGTGTAATTTCATGTTGAAATTTTGATACGCAAGTGTGTGCAAACGAATCTGGAAATTACACGAAAAAAAATGTGAAAAAAAGTAAAACTGCTGCAAACTGCTTACTGACTGGATGGACCTGAAATATATAAATCTAAAAATTAATGTGGCCTGACGTTGCGAACTTAGCAAGTTCTTCTTCAGAGGCTAAAGAAGTTCTGTTTTAGCCTCTGAGTCTGAAGAAGAACTTGCTAAGTTCGCAACGTCAGGCCACATTAATTTTTAGAAAAATAAATGTCTGACAAATGCAGCACTTTTTTTCTGTGAAGTATATAGAGTCAGTAATTGCTTCTAAAGCAAAAATAAACTACAAAGTACAAACAAAAATGTGGAAATCAAAATTTGACAAAGTTCTACATGTTGCCTTTGTTGGGGTACGTATGTTCCAAGTGTGGCCTTTATTTTACGGAGGCAGTCCAGTAAATTGGCCACATTTATGGGGCTAGTACTGTAGATCAAACTCCCGAAGGGTCCACCAGGGACTAAACTGGAAGTTGACGAGAGTGGATTAATGTCTAGCGGTGGCTGTAATGTCTTTGTTGGTTTTGGATGGAGCTGTGGTTTTTGATTTGCAGTGATTGTTTGTGTACAAAGTCTTTGGAGAGTCAAGAACATTTTTGAAGTATTTCCTAACAAAATTGGAAATGTTTCTCAGTCCCAGATTCATGTCTTATCATTATTTTTTGCAATGACTGACCTTCATTGAGATGATTATAATGAAGAAAAAAGTGGCGTCAGGTTGCAACATTTTTTTCTGAACTTTGTTGCAAGCCTAAGTTTAAAGTTACAAACAGAAAATGTGGAATTGGAAAACCAGAATGAGCATAGCTTGAGTAACTCCAGCTTACATGCTCATCAGGAAGCTAGGAAAAAAAGTGAAATGAGCATTGCACTTGCAGTATTTTTAAGATTACCCATCCATATCCTAACATTAGATGGTTTCTTCCCCCAGTACTTTGAGGCTTTCATACAAAATCAAAGAGTTATATTTGCAATGAGGTCTTTGGCTGTTCTTGTTCTGTAGTGTATGTTTTTTTGTTATAAGCCATTTTTTTGGAGGTTTAAATTAAGTCACGCGATTATAGAAGACACACGGGGTGCCTTCTAATTCTAGAAGTAATGGCCAAGTCCCCCCCCCCCCCCCCGATACTAAAATCTAATTTTTATCTTTGTATGCTGATTTAATTGTATGTCTTTCATCATAGGAATAACAGGTTTGTGAGGATCTCTGAGATCCATATTTAGTGTCTACACCAAGGCCAGCCAATCACAATGGAAGACTACAAGTACCTGTTCAAGGTCGTTCTGATCGGCAACGCTGGCGTGGGCAAAACATGTCTAGTCAGACGATTCACACAGGTAGGCATTTGTCAAAATGACAAGGAAAGCATTCCCTTGCTTATTTTGCTTGGTGTTAGACAGAGTAGCGTCCATATGTCATTCGAAGAAAGGGGTGCCTTGGAAACAACTGTTCTAGACACCCAGCTGTAAGGGTTGGACATTTTGGTGTGTAAATTTACAGCAAATCTGGATTTCTAGCCTGATTCTAAAATACATGTTTGTCTCATCAAAGATTTTCACTGTGTGGGGAGTGTGGCCTAGTGGTGGTCAGGGTTTGTGCCTCATGATCAGAGAGTCAGGGGTTCGAATCCAGCTGCCAGAGGTGGCAGCAAGTCATTTTTTGCAAGTCCAAGTCAAGTCACAAGTCATTGTTTGCAAGTCCAAGTCAAGTCACAAGTCATTAGGTCCAGTCACAAGTCATTAGGTCCAGTCACAAGTCATGTCACAAGTCATTTGGTCTAAAAACAAGTCAAGTCACAAGTATCTTTGTCCAAGAACACGTCAAGTTGCACATTATTTTGTCCAGCTGTAATAAGCTCAAAGAATTAACCTGGCGTGAACTTACGAGATATTTTGAACATGCCTCCTTAATTCCCCTTTTTCAATGTGTTGCAATTACTATTCTTGTAGTTTATCACATATCTGTCGGATATTAGCCCTTTGTATACTTTAATAAATTTACTTTACATTGTAGAAATAAATGTTGAGATGACCGTGAAAAAAAAAAAGACTTCCTCACTTGATTACATGTAGTATACTAACACTTTATTGTTCAATTTTCATGTATACTAAACGCATACCAATGGGTTAGGCTATCCGGTATTTTACATGCAATTGACAAAGGCCTGCTTTCTTTTCATGAAAGGTTCTTTTCAAAGTTTGTTCAACCAATACATTAAGCAAGAGACAATTGGTCATTGAAAACTAGTTTGTTGTGACAGTCTTATTGAAAACTTTTGAAACAAGTGGGAACTATTCATTTTACTGGATTCAGTCACCGAGGTCTATTTTCTGGAATGAAAAAGCTAATTAAAAGTATAATAGCTTAATTAAAGTGTATTGGGTCGCTCGAGTAGCGTCTGACTTGGGTTGGTAACAAGTCATTTTTTGCAATCCCAAGTCAAGTCACAAGTCATTGTTTGCAAGTCCAAGTCAAGTCACAAGTCAAAGCTGGTATTTACAAGTCAAGTCACAAGTCACAAAAATAGCGACTCGAGTCCGACTCGAGTCCAAGTCACATGACTCGAGTCAGCAACTCTGCCAGCTGCTGGTCATATGTTGTGTCCTTGGGCAAGCCACTTCACCCCAACTTGCCTCTCTCCACCCAGGAGTATAAATGGGTACCGGCATTATCGCTGGGGAGTAACCTGTGATGGACTTGCATCCCATCCAGGGGGAATAGATATATTCTCAGTCGTTTCATGCTACTGAAACGGGGGAAAAATGCGGGCCTGATGGGCCACGTTGGCTCGTGACAGACTCTATGTTGTTTTTTTACTCTTGAAAGATTTTCCTGTAGAGACTCAAAGCATCAAGATCCATGCCCATTTTCATGCATTAATTTTCACAGTAGTTTTGAATCGGTGACTTTTTTATCAAAATCTGTAATATTTTCCATTTTTCTTATTACTTAAATATTATGATCTTATTAACATTATTTACTTTTTGTCTTTAAATAGTGGTTTTAAGAATGGAGTCACAAGTCAATCATGCATAGCTATGGAACAATTTGTAGAAAAAGTTTATTGTATTTTTTTTTAATTTTGAACAGGGCTTATTTCCTCCTGGTCAGGGTGCTACTATTGGTGTTGACTTCATGATCAAAACTGTGGAAATCGGTGGAGAAAAAGTCAAGGTAAGGTGGAATGAATATTAATCCTCAATATTTTTAAACCATTATGGACTATTCAGTGTTAGCCACAGTCATCATCTTAAAACACTGACTTGAATCTAGCGACATATTCAGAGTGTTGCACACACAAAAAAGAATTTAAAGTGAGAAGTGTCGTACAAATATGTACAAATGTCTCCAAAGAGTCAGTATTTGTTGTGTTCTACTTGATCGTAAAACTAGGCCGATATATTTTGTATTTTTTCCAAAAATGGTGTTTCTCGGCCAAAAATAATCCTGCCATCAAGTGGTTAATAAAATTAACTTTGACAAATGACAGAAACAATGAGATGTTCACAAAATTACAATTTAATAAACTCTCCACAACTTTCGATAAGAAGAATCTGAAAAAGTCAGATCTGCGTTTACACTGTATGTAAAATCCTCCTGAGGTTAAAGCATCATTATGTGTGAAAAGGAGATATTTTTCTTGGTTGGACAGCTTCAGATATGGGACACAGCCGGCCAGGAGCGGTTCCGATCTATCACACAGAGCTACTACCACAGCGCCGACGCGCTGGTCCTGGTCTTTGATGTCACGTCCACAGAGACCTTCAACGCCCTGCCCAGCTGGCTCAAGGAGGTGGAGCAGTACGCAAGCCCTAAAGTCATCTCGGTGTTAGTTGGTGAGTTGCGAAGAAAGTAGTGATGGTTTGCTGCGGTTAAAGAAACAGTGGTGTAGTCGAGGTACTTATGATGTTTCACAGGTCATCATGAGCTCATCACAAGTCAATCACAAGTCATGCAAATAAACTGAGACGAGGACATTCCTTTGTTGATGTTCCTTTGTTACTTGTGACTGGACTTGTGAATTAACTTGTGATTTATGTAGGACTGGACTTGGGATTTGACTTTTGATTGACTTGTGATGTATTTGAGATCCATAACAAGAACAATGACGACATCATCGATTTAAATGTTTTACTCCTTGCCTGTGTAATTAGGGGCCTTTGTTAGAGTTACAAATCAAGCTGTCATATCATCAGCTCTTTGTCTCTAGGGCACAATTCCTAGCAGTGTCAGAGCAGATTATGGGTTTTCTTTTTTTTAATGCCATTTTGTGTATTTGATGAAATCTGATGTTGTGTTTTCTGTTTTCTTGATGTTGTAGTAAAAGCGAATCTAGCAAAGAGTTAATCCACTCAGTCACAAGTCAAGTCACTAGTGACAGGGAATGGACAGAAAGGATTATTTGAATAGTTTGGGAGTTGACTTGAAATTAAAAGATGCGTTTGAATAGCTATTGACTTATGAGGCCTGAGTCACAACTCTGGAATCAAAGCATAAAATCCAGATGAGCGGAGAGTTTAAATGAAGTGCCTATTTACAAAGACTTTTGATCACTTTGAGCTTTTTACTCTTCAGCTGAGTCTTTCCCATGTGATATTGTTTATTCAGGTTGGCGTAGTGGTACTCTCCCCGCCTTCAACCTCTGCGACCCAGGTTCGAATCCCCCCTGGGCCAATATGCCCGCCTTGGCCCATATGCCCCCCTTGGCCCATATGTGGATTGAGTTTTCAGTCCCTACTTGATTCTGTGGGGTTTTCCCCCAGAATATCATTCTTGAGTTTTCCTCTAGGACTGTAATTTCCTTCCACATCTTCTACCAAAGTACCCAACTGTAAATAAGTCAAAAGACTTTCGTGGACTATCCCCGGCCTCTTGCCGAATAATCATAACATAACTCACTAGATTATTGATTGGCCTTTTTTTCTCCACACAGGCAACAAAATTGACCTGGCCTCGGACCGCGAGGTCACCAACGAAGAGGCTGAGACCTTCGCCGACACCCACGACATGCGGCTACTTGAGACCTCGGCCAAAGAATCGGACAACGTGGACAAACTGTTCCTGGACATTGCCGTGGAGCTGACCAACAACGTCCGCAACTCGGACATCAAGAATTCCCTGTCGGAGGACCCTATACGAGATCACAGCAGCGTCTCCTTCTGCTGTCGAACGTAATACCAACAAACAACAGGTGAATATATTTGGCAAACAATTTGAATGATGTAAAAAAAAAAAAATCTGCATTGTCTTTTCAGCATTCACGATTTCTCTGAATATTGTCAGCCGTCTATCTCCTCTTCTTGCCATGTTTTTTTTTTAGTATTCAATAATTGGTCAGATTTGGTGTTTTGTCAAAATTGACTAAAAACTAGAAATCAAAGTTGTAATTTTGATGAAGATATTCAAACCGTCAGAAGCTGATTATGAATTTGAAGATCCAATGCATTGTTTAAATTTTAAAAAAATATGATATCTATGTATGTATATCCTTGTTAAGATGTAAGAGCTGCATGTATTGACATGTAATTTTAGTGCTATGTATATGTGCAATAGTTTTCACGTATTATATCCAGTAACGTACCAAGAATGTTGTCTATCCTCAATGGTTTGGCATGTATTTATGAAAAAGAAAGTATTTACTCTTTAACTTTCCATTTTATTGGGCATTTGTCTGAGAGCGTGTTCAGGGTATTAAAATAGTGATGCAAAAGCAACCAAAATAACAGGAGTTTTTTTTTTTCTTCTTTAAATGCATTGCTGTAAGCAATCAGTTTTAACACCATGTGGCTTCAACTTGCCAGTATGACAAGCAAATCTTTTTGTGCTTTTTGTGACATCTTTAAACAAAAATAATCTGAAGTTGCCTTCAAAAGTGATGGAGTTTTATGTGACTTATTTCCACAAAATGAGAGAAAAGTCTAAAAACTTTGTTTTCTTGTAAATCCTTCGAAACCATTCATTAAGTTGACTGTCGTTTGTTTAAACTGTCAAATTTCTCCAATATTTTGAAGACGGGGGCCCAATTTCATAGTGATGCTTAACAGTTAGCTGAAAAGTCGTGCTTACCATACCAGAAAATTGTGCTAACTTTAAGCACTATTTCATGGCTTGGATGTGCTAACGGTTGCGCGCGCATGGAGATTTCTATTGTTAGGTCACTGATTTAAGCAATTTTTTTCCAGTAAGCTTTTGCTGTGCTTCCTGCTTACGGTCTCCATGAAATAGGTGGAGGCTCAGTTAGCAGAAAATCATGTGCTTAGCAGCATTATGAAATTGGGCTCTGTTTTACCATCACAGCATTATCTGAAACATTTGAAAGATCTGATCTTTTTTCTTCTCGTAGTGACGACCTTACTCTCATTGAATGGATGCAAGTCACATTGCAAATTGTCCAAGTGCATACAAACTGTAGTTCTGCCAAGGTGTAAATTTCTTTTACTATGCATGAAATGGCAGTAGGGTACACTGAACATAGGTCTGTACATGTGCTTCAGTAAATTGCAGTGGCTGTTTTGTGTCTCACATTCTGTGCTCAAAAGGTACATGTTACTTGTACGCTAATGCAATGGTTTGCCATTGTGCCAAGTGCATTAATTAAAGGACGGAAGATCATGTATTCATGTTGTTGCCAGCTATTATGATGACAAGTGAATTGTTGGATGTAGCAAGTTTATATCTGCATGCGGAATATTGCAATAGTTTGTGACATAATGTTCAGTCTTCAGAGCATCTGTAATTGATGCAGTGCCATTGTAACATATGTCCATGATGAAGTCATGTTGCTTGACTGTCAAAAAAGTAGGCAGAATTGTGCAATCATTCATAACAGATATGAAAAGGAATGCTTACAATCTTAATGCAATGCATATTTGACATTTTGAATTGACAAATTGGGGGACCGCCAACATAGGGCTGAACAGCTCAGTTGGTAGAGCACTGGAACGGCAATCCGGAGGTCGCAGGTTCAAACCCCGCTCCAGTCAATTTCTTTGTTCAACTTTGAAATAATTATGCTTGAATTCTACAGAATTTTGAGTGATGGTAAAATGATTATGTATACATTATGCATGTACTGCATGCATCCTAAAAAAAGGAGTAACTTTTAAGCCGCCTCGCTAGAGAGCCAGTTAGACCTGTAATATGTAATTGTGTGTTGTGTAGAAATATCGTCAATGGCTAAAAAAGAATGTGCCAATTTTATTTTACTATGTTAGTTTGTTTATTGGCCAAAGAATATACATGTCTATTTTGTTAGATTTCATTGTATTTCTGTTAATTGTTTTGAATTTTAGCTCAGTGCAATATGTGTTCATTTGGTTTTGCAATTAATGAATATTTGTGAGCCGTTTGTGTTGAAGTGCTATTCATACCAGTATTATTAATTGAAATCTTGCCTGTCCGTGTTTTTTAAATTGTATTATTTCTTTAACCGACGTATTCAAATGTGTATGTGGATGGTGCAGTCCTTACCACATTCAGAATTCATCGAGGAGAAAGTAAAACTGAGTGATGGAATAGGGGTATTTTGTTTTCTTCTCAAACTAACAAGATCCGAAAAATTGGTCATATTTTGTTGGTTTCAGCCAAATTGGGTACAACGCATTGCATGAACAAGTACCATTTAAGTGTATTTAGTTCAGTTTCTGAAAGCAGGGATTTATTTTGCTCAGTAATTGTGCAAATTCACAAGAAAATTGCTATGCAACTCAAATTTACTTTATACGTATCGTATCCTGAAATTTGATTTGAACATCGTACAGTTTTGGTCAGTGAATTCATAATCTCGGTTTGCATATTTTGCTTTTTGAGGTTCTGGCCAAAACGTTCCTTTAATTGTGGACAACTCGTTATGCCTTATTCGGGTTCGCCGAACCCCAATTTTATGCAAAGTAACTGGCTTAAAGACTTGTTAATATCAGTGTGCTTAGCGTGTAGTCGAGGTTGTAGGTAGGACGTTTTAGTAATATTGGAAAACGGACTTACATGTACACGTAGCATTTATGTGTAAAAGATTTAGGCTGAGATGTAAAGAAATTTGAAAGTGATTATTGATTTTTTTTCTCCCTCTGTTCCAATTTTCAAAGGAAAATTTTATCACACGAATAAAGCAATTGTGTATTTACAACTGCGTTTTATTTGATATATTTATTTATTTGAATATGCCGTAACTGCCCTCAAAATGTAAGGTTATTAGATAACGAACTGGAGTTTGACATGTATATTTGTAAACCACTGAACAAAATGCATGTGTCACAACCACTGTTCTTCAGTCCCAGTCATTTTGAATTGAAGCGGTCAATTGACCTATCGCGGTAGAATCGCGTCAATGCAGCTTGTGAAATATTGTCCAATTACATGATATACAAATGGACATGGAACGCCCAAAATCTGAGACAAACAAAACTCAGTGTACAAAAACTCCATAGGGTTGTCTAAGGGGCGTGGCTAACTCGCAAACGGCGATAGGTCAATTTATGTTTATATCTTATCATTTAATATGGTGCTATATGTAAATGACTATTAATGAGTGCAATGTTAGTATCAGTTTTGTGCCAATTGGTGGATTTTATGTAGAAGGTACATGTACTTGTACCCAATTATGAAAAACAAATGTTTGTGCAATTTCATAGAGTATTCATGAATGTATTAGTATAAGGCCAAAAAAAAAATATGTCTGTCTCTGGTCAGAGCGCGCGCCGATTTTAATCATGCGCGTCAATCTTTTTTTCCCCCAAAATGTTCTGCGGTAGCTCCAACAGCGCCCTCTATTGCCACACCTCCTCAATTTTTTTTTAAAAAGAGCACCAAGGAATGGGGAAATTGCACAAAGGCAAATGACAAAGGGCACCAAGGCAAATTATGGAGGACACCAATGTACATGAGGACACCAAAAAAGCAAAATAGTACCCCACCTTGTCTGTACAATCCAAGCTTGAAGAAAAGAAAAAAAAAGGAAAAAAAAAAAAGCCGCGTCAATTCCGGAACTTTGGTCTGACCAGAGACCGAATATTTTTTTTTTTTTTTTGCCTAACCTCTTGTGTACATTCTAATAGATTAATAGACCTTATGCGTAGCTACCATCTTAGAGAGCATCTTTTATTATTGTAATTCAGTAACCATGATTGCTCAAAAGGTTCACTCGTGCATATCCCAGCAAAACAAAGGCACTGCCCTCTAAGATGGCTGCTACGCATGATGTCTATGGGCTGGTGTATGCATCAGTCATTAGTGATTAAACCATAGCTGTTCTTTTCTGTTTTTGACGATTGTCCATTTGTAAAAGTCTGCCTTTGCCAGCAAGACGAGCCTTTGCGGTGTTAAATCAAGTTCATTATGAAAAGACTGCCGCATATTGATTCACAAATGGAATTGTTCATTATCAATCTATTCCAACTTACTGCCTCAGCAATGTTTAGCAAAAGGTTTCATTTAATGGCCATGTCTGAATTATTAGGCGATGGCCGCTGGTAGTCACACACACGTCTTCTGCGCTCACTAACTTGTATTTTGGAAATTCTGGTAAATCACGTCAAATGGGACTAATGCAGGATTACTCCCGAAAGCCCATTTTTTTGCCTGTTATCAATACTTTTTTCCGTTTTGTAAGATCATTAAGATTAAAAATTATTCAAGAGCTGTTATCTGTCAAAGTTGAATATGAATAAAAGCTCTGTAGCCAAAGAAAGTAACAATTGATTCATTTACCTTTTTGTCTGTTTTTTTTCTGCATTTATTATATAAAATTATACTATTTTAAGAACAGCAATACATTTCATGTATATATATTTAAATACTTGTCTAACTAGGCTCGTCACCAACGGGAAGAAGCCTTGACTAGAATTTCAAGCATCGAATAATGGTGATGGATTTGTTTTATGGACTTATAATATATTTAAGGAATAACAATCATATATATTTTTCAAATCTCCCCCAAGTCTGTGGTTACTGACCTTTCAAATGTGAAAGATGGGCTTGCTTTTTTTACTACTACACTGTATTAGACAGTTAATGACACACCAAGTTATTTTAAAATTGCTCAAAGCTTCCCTTACTTTGTTCAATGTATATCTTGTACATATTTCGTGGTTGCTTTTCTCTAGTGAGACTTCTCGGGTTTTGGGCAACATGGAAGATATATTTCATACCTTTTCCATTTGTGCAGAGGTCAGAGTTAAAAGTTACAATCATGTGTAAGTTTTCAGCACTTTAAAAGTTTTTGGACTTAAACAATTTAGCATCACAATTTGTTCATGTGAATCCCTGCTTTTTCATCAAGGATTAAATAATGCTTGCCTGTTTCCTAAGAAACCTTTTAAGTACTGCCAATATTTTAAATACCAAGAACCAGCCAGATGAACAGGCTTTTAGCAAAAGATCAGTCTAACCTTTCGGGGAACTTGTCGACCAAGAATTGTAAAGAAAAAATTATCACTTAAAACAACGTATTCCCCAAACCACTTTGTTCAATACCTCGATCTCGGACTCAGATACTAGTACCACATTTCCTTTTCTTCAAGCAATCCCTTACCCAGGTTTAACTAAAATCATTTATCAAATTAACGGGAGTATAAATGATTACCCAGAGCCATTCTATTTCATTCATTTCTATAATAATCTTGACCAGTTACCCTTAAACAATATCTACTTCCTTTTCCTAAAAGGTATCCGCCGCTCAAGTTTTATTTTAAAAGTACTCGGGGAGCATAAACAATCACCAGAAATTACTATATATAATGTCCTTGACCTTTGACCACATACATACATAGTTTCCTTCTACCAAGTGAAGTCATTTACCAAAAGAATCATTTAAAAAAAGTATTTGCAGTAAAACGTACCATCCTTAAACGGATGCTTAGAAGGATAGTCCTATGCCACAGGGCATTACAGGGTACATTAAAAAATGTAATCAACATAATGGACGAGAGTGTTGAAATTATGAATGTGAACACTGTCAGTGTTAAATTGCGGTACCCGCTGCTACATGTACATCAGATTGGAACCAGGCAAACCGATCCCGTAAGCTCGGTGGTCGAGTGGTTGTACAACTTCTGCACTAGAAAGCAGGAGGTCGTGGGTTCGAGTCCCACCGAGTGATTTTTTTCCAACTTTCACTCTGGAGGTAACACACCGAGTATACAAGTGTTTATGTGTCAGTGAAGGGCAAAACCTTCTATTGACTGTCTGTGTGGTCATATCTTCAAGGATGGTTCACCAGCTTGCCGTTCATCCCATATTGCACACCTACAGCGACGGATAACTGAGCACCATTGAATGTAAACACAAGCTCAAACAACAAACACCTTGTTTTGCCAGGCTGGTCTGATTTAGAGGTGGCCTGATCAGTCCCAACAATGGACTGTGTTGACCTCCCTTTCAACACCCAATCCACAGCTAGTGATGGTGTATTGTTTGGTCGGGTCATCTCAGTGATAAGAATCGGCCCAGCTTGACAAAATATGGTTGCGACCTTCCGTTTTGAAATCAAAACAACTCAGTCATCCATGACTGAAGAATTGCAAGTTAGGTATCAATGGGGAACTGATAAATAGCACTTTCAGATACAGCTACATTGATAAAGTTCGAATTCATAATTTTAACAGAATAATCCATTATTTTGGGATTTGCTGTTTCCTTAATACAGCCTGTAAAATATCATACACTTTAGGTGAGAGGAATAAAACTGACTGGCAAATACTGGAGCAATTTTACAGAAAAAAATGGGACGCCATAAAAGAGGTTTTACTCAAGCCAAAAGCAGTTACCTACAATGCATTGATCAAACTTTGAAGTTTACTATCGCTTGAGGAAGCCATACACGCTTTCAGCCACGAAGCCATACAGCAGATAGTTTCACAAGGACAAGTGGGGAGTCATCCCAAAATGTTGCTTATGCTAGGACTACCTGCCTATGAGGCAATGATCAAACTCACATTAGCTTTTCACTTATGATTTCTGGGAACTAGACATGCTTGCAGTGAAAACAGTTTAGGCATCATAATGGCTTCCAGATTAGGTCATAAGCCCCACCCACCTGCCTGTGACTTTTGGTCACCTGACCAAAAGTCCTGCTCTAATTGGTCAATGCAGGCTGTTTAATTGACATGCTGGTAGGGTCCACTAATTGCCACGGGGCTTTTAGCACATCCTAAACGGGCATCACTGTCAATGTCTATGGCTTGTCACCATAGCACGCCAATTGCAAACAACCCACGCCATAGTCTCAACTATCTTATAAACACAATTAAGAAGCTATGAGAAGCATTATAAATCATTGTCGTGCCAGGACATCCTTGCTCGGAACCTGCCGAGCAGTATATCGGCGGCCATTCCCGAGGTGATTCTCCCCTGATCTACCTCCGCTTCCATCCGCGGTAACTCCGGCCCGATGTCCGGGTGACAGCGGAAGATGTCCATGATGTTGTCTCGGATGTGGTTCCACATCCAAATGCGGTGCTGCTTGGAGCGCTTGGGGAGTAGGAGGTCGTACTTGACCATGATGTTCCGGTACTCGGACATCGCGTCCCAGGCTTCCGTCAGACCGGTCTTGGTGACGGCTGACACCTGCATCACCTGATGCACACCAAAAAAGATCTCCGAGATCATTGGACCATCCCAAATTTTGCCTACCAATCTATGTGTACATTTCTCACAGTGCTTGTGACTGAGGCTGTGTCCGATTTACTTTGCTACGCCTGGAACTTACACACGCACCTATGGCTACTTCCCATAGACCCGTGTGTTATATCTAGCCGTAGCCGAGTAATTCCGACGCGGTTCAAGTTTGACTGAGCTAACATGGTCACCTGACCAAAATGTCATCTTCTTATTGGTCAATGCACACTGTTTTGATAGACAGGCAGGTAGGGTCCACTCCGGAGAGCTGCTGAGCACAGAATATTGTTTTGCAAAAGTCTGTACCGAGCGGAAAAAAAAACCTTACTGAGAACTTGTCACAAGAAAACTATACCTCATGACATTTGGGCTTGTGAGCCTTTTTTTGCTAAGCACAAATTTTCAGGCTTAGCAGATTTGTGAGCAAAGCAGGTCTGTGACATTGTTAACTGCTCAGCTAGACCTTGCAATATACTTATATTTAGGTGGAGAGTATGCGGTTGTTACAACCATACACAGCTGAGCCAGTAAACATGACATACTAGCAGGGATGTAGTCGCGTCCATCACGAGTCCATCACAAGTCCAGTCACAAGTCCAGTCGCAAGTCCAGTCACAAGTCCAGTCACAAGTCCAGTCACAAGTCCAGTCACAAGTCCAGTCACAAGTCCAGTCACAAGTAACAGTGGATGAACAATAACATAGGAATGCCTTTGTCAAAGCTCATTTGAATAGCTTGTGATTTGAATTGGGACTGCAGGACTTGTGATGGACTTGCAGGGACTTGTGATGGACTTGCTGCACACTAACTCTTCTGTGCAAACCACACATCATCATCAACTGTTCCCGTACCGAGTCCATATACCCATCGACTTCTACTTGTCTTCCTCACCTTAGGTGACCAGACGGCCGATCTCTTGCGCATGAGCTTGAGGGCGCTCGTGTACTCCGTCTTGACCCGTCGGCTGGGGATCTTCAGCTCCCCGTCTGCCTTGGTCACCAGGATCAGGTCAACTTTCTCCACGATGCCTCGTTTGATTCCCTGGAGCTCGTCGCCACCGGCCGGTGGGACCAACAACAGCAGCATGTCCACCATGTCTGCAACCGCATATTCTGATTGACCAACACCTTTAAGCCAAAAACGAAAAAAAGGGTTTGATCAAAATGTTCTGACTTACAGAGGTGTATCACATTATTCTTACCATTGCACTCATAAACATTCCTTATTTGTATAACATAAACATGAGCTACAGAAACTGTTTTGGAAAACTGAGCCACTATGCATCCGCAACACAAGAACAGTACTTCCGAGCCTTAGCTAAACCACCACAAAGCACATTTTCGCGTTACAAGATGATTTTGCAAGTGGATCAAGAGGCAAGCTTACCAACGGTTTCAACAAGGATGATGTCGAAGCCGGCGCCCTCACAGACAACAATGGCATCGTTGGTGTTACGCGCCACTCCACCGAGACTGCCGGACGTGGGCGATGCACGGATGTAAGCTCTCATGTCCCGTGTCAACTCGGGCATCCTTGTCTTGTCGCCCAGCAAAGAACCTTCGAACAGGACAAAAAATAGGAAAAATTTACATCTGATAAGCACATTAGGAATCCATGAAACCATACAGTGTTGGGCAGTTTGGGGTGGTACAGGGAGTTACAGGCAGGGTGGTTTTGGGCAGTACAGAAAGTAATAGACAGGGCAGTTTGGGGCAGTACAGGGAGTAACAGGCAGGGTGGTTTGGGGCAGTATAGGGAAAGTAACAGGCAGGGTGGTTTGGGGCAGTACAGGGAGTAACAGGCAGGGCAGTTTGGGGCAGTACAGGGAGTAACAGGCAGGGTGGTTTGGGGCAGTACAGGGAGTAACAGGCAGGGTGGTTTGGGGCAGTACAGGGAGTAACAGGCAGGGCAGTTTGGGGCAGTACAAGGAGTTACAGGCAGGGTAGTTTGGGGCAGTACAGGGAGTAACAGGCAGGGCGGTTTGGGGCAGTGTAGGGACTAACAGGTTTACCCTTTTTGCCAAAGTGGCTCGCTTGGGTTCAAGGACAATTATGAGATACTGGTTAATCAGTCTTCTTACCTCCACTGTATGAAGAGGATGGGTCGACAGCCAACACCGCCACCTTGTGGCCTGCCTCGGTCAGTTGCTTGCCAAACGCTTCTATGAACGTGGACTTTCCCGCACCGGGCGGCCCTGTCAAGCCTGCAACAAAAAATCCATCCAACAAATCTGGTCAATGAAACTTTATAAACAAGGTACTCTTCGCTAATAAAAAATCTGTGGGATTGCTTTGTGACTGCTTTGGCCTTGACCCTTCAAGATCATTTAAAAGCTACCAAGTTTCAAAGGAATTTGTAGGACTGAGGAAGCACAATCCTGTTATGGGCTAGATACCTCTTGAGATATGTACCATTTGTTGCAGGATTTTGGGGTTCAACCCATCCATGTGTCCTTAAGCAGGACATTTTACAGCAATTACCAATTGCTAGAGATGGGATTTTTTAAAGACATGGGTGATGAACTGAAAGCGAACGTGTTGAGTTTACTTTTCTGGGAGCTATTTTGGTTTGTTCATACAGACCTATTCGGAATGAGGGGGGTATTCCATGATTCTCTGTCGTCTTCTTCCTCAGGTAGGCGAGAATTTCGGCGAGAAGTTCCCTTGCCTGTGCCTGCTTGGCGCGGTGAGTGGACTCCACCAGCGTGATACACTGAGCGATGGCGGCCCTATGCTCCGACACGAGCTCTCGGAAGAGTTTCTTGGCTGGTCTCTCCGCTTCTTGGGGTTGGGTCTCCTGAGTTTTGTGTCCTGAACTCAGACAGAGTGGTCTGTTGTGTAAAATCCAGGAGCTGTGAGGGACTAGCGAATTTCGGCAGTGGAGGGAGGTCCTTTGTGTTGTCCTGGAGGAATGTTTCACTAGGGACGAAGTCCAGAAGAACCTTGTCTGTAACGCTGCCATTTCCAAGAGAATTTTTTTGTTGGTGTCTTGCTGGTAAATGGATTCAATTGTTCATTTTTGATGACGGTGTATCAACGGAAAACTCTGTGTAAAAGTAGAAGAAAACAATTTCACCTGATTAACAAGTTTTATCACCTACCACAAAATTCAGTTCTGGGGGTTTCTCATATAGGCCAATCATCACACCAAATATCGTTTCAATCTGTGAGAGTCGGGTACAAAATCGTGTTGAATTGACACGGAATGACCCAGTTTTTAGTGGCATCAGAATACAGCATCTAGACCATATAAACACACCGTACCCAACTACCCATCATCATCAAACCTGTCTGTGCGTTTCTGCACGTAGATGGCCTACCGCCTTTACAATTTGCCAGATTTAACCTTTCCAATGCCATACGAAAATGTACAGTACTTTTTAAAGTTGTTATTTATTAACCCAAAGTTTTCCTGTGGCCATTATTCTTATTCAGGACTGCCAACTTTGAGTAAGAGCTGAGAGTGAGAATTTGGCGATGGCGCTTGATCAGAAGGAATCATCATGAAGTGCGAAGTCCTAACACTCGGGACTGGCGTTCGGAGCCCGCTTAAGGGTCCCGAAAAAAATTTGATTCTACTCTAGACGCTGTGGTACTAGCTTGAGTTACTCCAGCTGACATGTTCCATATTCATTCTTATGTGAATGAATATGGAACATGTCAGCTGGAGTTACTCAAGTCAAGCTACTGTGGTACGATGGTGCGATCGGAGGCAATTTCTGACCACTTGAACCAATATTTTTGAACAAAAGGTCATGATTGGAGTTTTATTTATTTATTTTTTTAGCTTGAGAAATTCCGTGTGGGCGTGAGCCTGAGATTGACCTGAAAATGCGCGAGTCTCTCACGCTCAAGCTCAGTCAATGCTAGCCCCACTAGTGTGGCCGCGGTATGCTGCGCAGAGGTTCAGCGCAGCATACCGCGGCCACACTAGTGGGGCTGTTGTGCCCATTCTTGAAAATCACGCAATCTTAAGAATGTGCGCGCATTCTTAAGAATGAGCGCCCATTCTTAAGAACGAGCACGCGTTCTTAAGAATGAGCGCTCATTCTTAAGATTGGGTGGGAATATCACGTGCACAATTTATGAATTTTGCCCAATCTTAACAAACATTGCACGACATAATTATGTTAAATGAAATGTATAGCGGTTAAAAGGGAAACAATTTATATAAAGAGGAAAGAAAATATTCTATGCTTCTGTACTCGTATAACTACGATAATTTGAATCAAATTAAACCTGTTATTATTGCTTTTTTCTGCCCACTATGGGAAGTTTTGTAATAACGGAGGACTGGGAACTAGTCTGGGAAGTGCTTTGTTTAGGCTAGACAAGTTACAAGTCCCTGTATGTATCATATGCATGCCACGAAAAAAAAAACGATGTCCAGAAGCTGCCAAAAATCTTGCCATCACTAATTTTTTTCCCTCAGTGGCGTCGCCAAGGGGGGGCCAGGGGGGGCACGTGCCCCCCCTGGAAAACCTAGTGCCCCCCCGAGTGCCCCCCCCATCTGAGATTTGGGTTGGTAAAAAAATATATATATATTTTGTTATATTCAACTCCCATCATCTGAGTTGGTTTTTCATAAGGACAAAGATTGAAAGAAGCACAGTAATTCGTATTTTCTTCAAATGAGCATCATATGTGGCACCATTTTGCATCTCCGTATGCGAAAATTTTCCAAAGGGGAGGGGGGCACCCCCTCCCCTTAGACCCCTCCCCCAGGACGGCGATCCGTATCCACCTAAGTGCCCCCCCCCCCCCATAAAATGCTGGTGCCCCCCTGTGTGCCCCCCCAGACTGAAAAGTCTGGTGACGCCACTGGTGACCTCAGCATCAGAAAGTGATAATCACGATAATATCATAAGGTTGAATACTTTATAGGCCTGTCTGGCCACTGAAAATCATAATAAGAGTAAGACTAATAGTACATCCGTTGCAGTTAAACTACGTCAACCAGTCGGCTTACCGAGTACGAAAAACTACGAAATTTGGTGGAAACTCCAAAGTCAACTCGCCTGTGTTTTGCGAAGAGCGCCCTCTGTTGAATCACAGCTCACAGCTGAAATTTCGAAGCGTTGTATTTTGCCACTTGGTGGCGCTCTTCAATACCTTTACAAGATCACGAGATCGTCCCTTCTAATAATTAATTCACCTGTATACCGTTCGCTTGGCGCAATCTATAGCTCAGTATTATTATCAAGATCAGACTTATTATATGAGGCGTCTGTAAGTTGTGCACATTTATTGTCGTTTTTACATGTTTTTAAGTTACATGATTTACCAATACCATGTATTGTAAGACAAGACCTTAGCCTAGAAAGTGTTGTGATGTTCAAGTTGACCTTGACCTTGTTTTGTTTTCACCATTTCCCGAGAATGCATGAACGTGATTTTTATAGCCTAGACAACAGTTTGAGTTTCATACATAGGCCTAGTATGCCTAGGCTAGAAGGCGGGAGGGGGGGGGGGGGAAGGATGGAGATTCCAATTCTAGAACTAGAAAAGTATTTACTATAATACTAAATTGGAAATGTTTCTCACTCAGTGAGTCAGTCCCAGATTAATGTTTAATGTCATTTTTGGCAGTGAATGACCTTCATTGAGATGACATATCATATGAAGAAAAAAGTGGCGTCAGGTTGCAACATTTTTTTCCAAAATTATTAATTATTGTATGGTTTAATTGTTGTGTAGTTGGACGCTGACGTCATTTGTACTTTTGTTCCTCTGCCAACTTGCAAAAATGTTGAAAAAGAAATCAATCTGAAAATATTCTTGACTCTCCATTGACTTTGTACACAACCACTGAAGTGGCTTTATTTTTGTTCTGTTAATTTATTTTGCAGATATTCACCAGACTGAAACAATGAGGACCATACTGCTGTTCATCAGTGTATCCCTGGCTGTGTCAGCCGTGTATAGTTTAGACAATGGTTTGGCACGGACACCCCCTATGGGATGGAATCCATGGGTGAGATTCCGCTGTTCTGTGGACTGTGTTAATTACCCAGAAACTTGTATCAGGTACGGAAAACAAAACAATGTAGACTTTTAATATAGATCTGAGATTCCCATATATTTCGACAAAGGTCGAAGAAGTGAAAGCTCAAAGATTTTAAAATTAAATGTGGGGTAGATCATTTGTCATTTGTGCATTTTTTCGTTTGAAGCAACAAAAGTGCTCAAATCTGAAGATGAGTGCTCAACAACTAACCTGACGAAGTTTTAGCTCAGTGATTGCCGAATATTCAGAGAAAACAATATTCTAGGATCTCGATTTTCAATTCAAAAGTTGCAGAGTCATGCTTTGATTTATGCCTGAAATCAGTGTCTGGGACACGTTCTCATTCAACTGGTTGTAGCTACGCGATGTCACGCACTGAGCCGAATGTTTTTCAAGTACATATGTTGATAGCACTGCACAGTACCCAATATTTACCCATTACCACCAATGTCTGATGCAGGGAGGAGCTTTTCATGGAAATGGCTGACATCGTGGCCAGCGAAGGCTACAAAGATGCCGGCTACGAGTTCATCAACATGGACGACTGCTGGATGTCCAAGCAAAGGGATGCACAGGGCATTCTGCAGCCCGACCCTCAGAGGTTCCCCAGCGGCATCAAGGCACTGGCTGACTATGTAAGAATCCGTTTTTTCTCAACACATGTCAGCATTGATAGATGAGAAGAGGCTGAAGCCGAGTTTGTCTCTGCTTGTGCCTAGATTTCAATGTACGAGATGCAAGGGAAAGTTGATAGCTGCTCGTCATTTTGGTTGTTGGGTCTCAGTGATTCTTGTGATTGCTTTCAACAGGTCCATTCCAAAGGACTGAAGTTTGGCTTGTACCAAGACATGGGCACCGAGACCTGCGATGGCTACCCTGGCATCTGGGGTCACATTGAGACCGACGCCAAGACGTATGCTGAGTGGGGCGTGGACTATGTCAAGATGGACGGTTGCCACAACTTGGGCCCTACCTTGTTTGGAGAAGGTAATTCATAAACTTTGGTTGTTTTGAAAACTTTTGAAACATTTTGCTGGCTGTGTGACACCTCACTGTAATATCTGACAAGACAGAGTTTGGACACAAGTAAAATCACAAGTCATTCACAAGACAACTTACAACACGGATCACGAGCAACAGGTGATGAACAATGACAAATTAATATCTTGACTTAAGACTGGTGACTTGTAAACAATTTGTGATTGACTAATGATTGATGATATGAATGACGTGATTGACATAAGATTGATATGTGATTGACTTTTTCTTGACTTGTAATTGACATGTGATTGACTTAAGATTGACATGTGATTGACATATGATTGACAAGTGATAGACATGTGATTGACATGTGATTGACATGTGATTGACAAGTGTTAGACATGTGATTGACAAGTGATAGACGTGATTGACAAGTGATAGACATGTGATTGACAAGTGACAGACATGTGATTGACAAGTGACAGACATGTGATTGACAAGTGATAGACATGTGATTGACAAGTGATAGACATGTTATTGACATGTGATTGACATATGATTGACCTGCAATTGACTTAAGATTTACGTACGTGATTGACATGTGATTGACTAAAGATTGACATGTGATTGACAAGTGATTGACATGTAAATGACAAGTGATAGACATGTGATTGACAAGTGATAGACATGTGATTGACAAGTGATAGACATGTGATTGACAAGTGATAGACATGTGATTGACAAGTGATAGACATGTGATTGACATGTGATTGACATATGATTGACCTGCAATCGACTTAAGAATTACATACGTGATTGACATGTGATTGACTTAAGATTGACATGTGATTGACAAGTGATAGACATGTGATTGACAAGTGATAGACATGTGAATGACAAGTGATAGACATGTGATTGACAAGTGACAGACATGTGATTGACAAGTGACAGACATGTGATTGACAAGTGACAGACATGTGATTGACAAGTGACAGACATGTGATTGACATGTGATTGACTTGTGAGGATTGATTACAACTCTTGGGACTAGAAGGGGTAACATTTCAAATGCGACGGTGCTTCATGTTTACTCGATTAAATTAGTTTTTATGCAAAACACCTATATGTTGGTTATAACGTCTTCAGAATTTGAGATGGCTATCTTTGTTGCGATATTTTTGTTCAGGTTTTGTCAACATGACCCGTGCTCTGAACGAGACAAAGCGTCCAATTGTCTTTTCATGCGAGTGGGGTTTCGACATGAGACTACACAATGTAAGTTATTACATAAACCTGCAAATTTTTACTGAAAAAAAGGATTAAAAAAAAAAGAAGGATTTTTTCAAAAAAAGAGAGGATTTTTCCAGAAAAAGGATTTTTCCAGAAAAATAATTTTTCCAGAAAAAGGATTTTTCCAGTAAAAGGAGCAAGAGAACATTGTTAGTTTCAGTTTTAGTCAGTCTTGTCCAGAAAGTTTTTTTTTTTAAATTACATATTACAGTTTTTTAATTGCATATTTTTATTACCTCATTCCTCCAACATCTTTCAACATCTCCTGGTAGCGTTTGGAGGATCTTTGATTGCAAGGATTCGCCCTCCAAGTCTTCAGTTTTTTTAGTGCAGTGACTCTCTGTACAGTTACTTTAACACTTCACATCCCTTCACCTGAAACTGACCTGCAGGGTTTGAAATGGTTTTACATATTGCTCTGAATATTGACTTACCACTCAGAGAGTTAAACTGAGTCGTATGTACACTAATGTAGTCATTCATTTTAACACAGCCAAATTACACGGACATCGCACTGCACTGCAACAGCATGCGACAATACAACGACGTGCAAGATTCCTGGGACCAGGTTATCAACATTCTGAACTGGTACACTGGGGAACAAAAGGTCATGTCACAGGTTAACGGGCCCGGCAACTTCATTGATATGGACTTTGTAAGTAAAGCAAAAGAAAGATCCTGCTGCCTGAATTTGTCTGATCTAAACACTGCCTGAACCTTCCTGCTGTCTGAGCAGTCAATGTCAAGATATCAGTCCTGTTCCCTTCCATGCTTTTATACACAGCTACTCGACAACAATCAGATTGCATTTCTTGTAAAAAAATTGGACGAGTCAAATTCAATCGACAGACACAAACAAGTAGACACAGCCAGAGAGGGATTATTTTAATATCTTAGGCTGTTTCGGAATTATTAAGATTAGATCGCCTTTGTTCTTATTGCTGACACTTGAATGTTAATAACCATAAAATCATAACAGTGCCTTGTGATATTTTTTCATTCCAACAGATCGTAGTCGGAGACTTTGCACTGAGCTATGAGCAAGCCCAGTCGCAGTTCGCGCTCTGGTCCATCATGTCGTCGGCCCTCCTCATGTCCAGCGACCTGCGCAAGATGGATCCCAAGATGAAGGAGATTCTCCTGAACCGCGAGGTCATCGCCATCAATCAGGACAAACTGGGCAAGATGGGCCTCATGATTTACAGCGTAAGTCAAATCTGTCCCGAACCAATAATAGCCTCAGCCATGCATTTTGTTCGTTTCCAACAATAACACCACTCATAATCCAAAGAAGATTGTTCAAACCCTAACCTGTTCAAAATTTATCTCAGTGGATATCAGCCTTTGATCCCAAAACACAATCTTATCAAAAGCACTCTTTATTTCCAAAAATCTGCCAATTGACCGATCGTTGGAAATCACCTCATGAGGTGATTTTCCCTTTAAAGGCCTGGGCCCTTTTCATACCAGGATCTCGATATTGATCTGTGACTGAGCCCAGTGTAAAATTGTCTTGACCTGAGACTGGATGACTTTTGTTTGAATCGCTTCTCCGTTAATGCTGGTACCTATTTATACTCCTGGATGGGAGGGTGGCAACTTAGGGTGAAGTCTCTTGCTCAAGGACACAAAACATAAGCCAGTGACCTATCATCACTAAGAAAGTGAGGTTCTTCACTATAAAACAAATGCTATTCAAAACTTTCGAAAACTTCTCTAATGAGAGTAAACTGCCACTGTTGTTTGTCCCACACTATGCCATATCTGTCTGTTATGATGCAGGAAAACGAGCTTATTAATAACTTAATTTTTCTTTTCACAGAAATCCCCCTATGAGGTGTGGGCCAAAGAGCTGGACAACGACTGCTTTGCTGCGGTCATTCTCAGCAAGGCCTATGACATGCCGCACAACTTCACGGTAACCATGACGATGTTGGGATACCCCAGTCAGCCGTACGCGGTCCGTGACGTGATCAACCACAGAGATCTGGGGACTTTCGTGAAGGACGAGCCACTGAGCCTCACGGTCAACCCGAGCGGGGTCAGGATGCTTAAGGCGGTACCAAGCAAGAAGAAAGGTTTTAAAGTCTATTAGCGTTGTAATCACTAGTCAATTCACATTGTTTTTATGTCACAAGTCATTAGAATAGCTTGTGAGTTGACTTTGGACAGGAGGTCTTGTGATTGACTTGCGATTGACTTGCGATGACTTACTGTGACTTGCGACTGTTTTGATTACAACTGTGTTGCTCTAGCAGTTTACATCCATACCATTTTACACGGGGAGAGTTTTTTTCCATAGGCTTTATTCATGAGTCGGCCATATTAAATTGAAAGCGAGGTAACATCTTCATTTTTGGAACTTGCAAATAGAAATGAAAGTAATGAAATAAAGTTAATTACAAATTAATACCAGGCTGCTCTGATGAATATTTTTAAATTTGTGAGTAATTGTACGCTAACGAAGCCACATTTAAAAAAAAGTGAGGCTTGGAACACATAAATAGTCTGGCACCATCCGATTCAACAGTTAACAAGTTCTATTTATTCATATTTGATTTTGTCACTATGTTGCACAGCAATGTTGCACACGTGCGTGAACGAACAAATGCGCGATATGTTGCGCAATTTTTGAAATTAGCGCGATAAGTCGCACGATTTTGTCGCGTAAATGTAAAAGCGCTCATTGATTTGTGCGTGTATATAAATACGCTACCTTTATCACCCAATAAAAATTGCTTAAAATTCAGGAAAAACGATTATAAATGGTTACCTCGTGAATAAAGTCGATAACAGTGGCCACTGATATTTCTTATGCAGAAAGAGACATATAATGTATCTTTCAAGTTGTAATTATCTGACAAAACACATTTATGCATATTTTTTTTCAGCCATGTTTGTGTATTTTGCCTGATGAAATCATTTTCATATATGTGTATATATAAGCCTTCGTTGAACTTTAATTATACATAATTATGAACATCTTAAATGAAAGAAATACTCCGATAACAGAAGTACTAAACGAATAGATGTATTAGTAAAAAAAAATATGTGATATAGGTTATGTTAGCTTACGGATTTGTAATGGTTTTATCTATAGATGTAATTGTTTTGGTTTTTTTAATTACATTTACAGGCCATTTCAGAAGGAAGCTTTAGCTTTAAAATTGTCATTTTTGTTAAATTTTGTAGTTTTCTTTAGAGAAATGATGATGTTTACTTATAGATTAACATTTAAATTTAACAGAGACCAGAGGTCTTTCAGAGTTTTGTACTGTATTAAGATTTGTATTTCAATCATTTCTATAATTGATCTTTTCTTCAGTTTGTAAGCTATCGTCATTGTCTACAGCTTGTTTATATGCATTACCTGAGATAATGGATGGAAATTTTCAAACTTTAAGTAAATTCTGATGGAGATAAATTCACATTTTAAAGCTTGCTATTATGTTGCCAGTTAAACTAGCAATGCAAAAATTAAACTGAAATGAGAATTTAAATGAAATCCCTGCCGAGATGGCAGTGGACGGTTTAAAAAAAAAACATGTATGTAAAAATAACTTTTCTAACTCTTTAGTACCGATGTGCCATCAACACACGTTAAAGGGAATAAAGATGTGGAGAAACATCAATATTGGTTGTTCTTTATTACCAGTTTTGTCATGTACGTGTGTGATAGATTTTATATTGATGTCAAAACACTATTAATTGAAAGAATTACGAAAGTCTTTTCAAAACTTAAAAATGTTTTATTAAAAATATAAAAAACAGCATCTAATAATTATATGACCCAAGAACATCTCTGCGGCGTTATCACATGATACAACAAAAGCGGATCACGTGATCCAACACGTGGTCAGTCTTGATCGTTAACTACTCCACCCGCCGCGAATAATAAATGCTACACCGTCTCGTGGGAAGTGGGCGCACATGCAACTTTTGATAGGTTTGTATGATTGTAATTTTTAATATTAGGGCCTAGTAATTTACAAAAATTGGGCTGAGGAATATCCATCTGCAGAAAGCTGAGGCGAGATTTGCATCTTCCAAAACGGAAATCGTGAAACCGAAAATATAAGATAGTGGATATTTTGCCGGAGGTAATGACGGCAAACTAACGTTTACTAAAGGCTTGCCGGCGGCAATCCATATCAACAGAGGGCGCTGTACTCTTTAAGATAGGGCTGAATTATAAGATGTATTAAATTCCCACCAAAAGTTGTGTAGCACGTTTGGTGTAGTGGTTAAGCAAAAGCTCTAGTGAGCGGGATGACTCGAGTTCGATCCCAATCCCCGCTACATTTTTAAGGGTTTTTTTCCCATCCCCAAATAAATAAGAATATTCTTCTTTTATTATTCTAACATTGTTATGTCTCAAACATTTTATTGCAGAGTATTACACTTACAGTTTCTTTTTCAGATTTGTGGCTCTGGAGAATTTTTTTTTTAAAGGGAAATAAAGTCCGAAATTATAAAATGAATACGAGGTTACAACAATAATATTGGCATGGACCCAGACTAAAATTTGTCACCGGAAAATGTTTAAGTACAAAAAAACAGTAACTGCGCATTTTCAGCATGTTCAGTGCATATCCGGCAAACTAACGTTTACTAAAGGTTTGCCGTCTCCGGCAAAATGTCCACTGCCAAAATATAATTCATTTGGGAAAGATGCCCATATCTAGATACGTCTACGGTCTTGTAACCCTACAGCTCCGACGGACTAGTATAGACTGGTCTGAAAATTTCAAAGTGTTTTCTCAGCTAGCTCAGTAAATATTTTCCCTGTTAAATTGGACTTTTTAAGACATATTAATTATCACTTTCTGATGGCTGATAGGTCACTGAAGGGAAAAATTAGTGATGGCCAGATATGGGAATCTTTCTCTCGAGGTTCAGGCAATGTGATAAGCCTAAGAAGTGTGATTTATTTTGACTGATTAATTTAAAACCTTGTCAGTGCTTGTGTTTCTTATTTATTTGTTTTTATACACTATAAATAATAGGCCTTCAGTCATCGGATTGAAACAATTAGGACCATACTGCTGTTCATCAGTGTATCCCTGGTGAATAAATCTGAAAATATTCTTGACTCTCCATAGACTTTGTACACAACCGCTGAAGTGGCTTTATTTTTGTTCTGTTAATTTAGTTTGCAGATATTCACCAGACGGAAACAATGAGGACTATACTGCTGTTCATCAGTGTATCCCTGGCTGTGTCAGCTGTGTATAGTTTAGACAATGGTTTGGCACGGACACCTCCTATGGGATGGAATCCGTGGGTGAGATTCCGCTGTACTGTGGACTGCGTTAATGACCCAGAAAATTGTATCAGGTATGGAAAACAAAACAATGTAGAATTTTAATATAGATCTGAAATTCCCTGATTTTTGGACAAAGATCAAGGAAATCAAAGCTCGAAAATGTAGAAGTTAAAGGTAGGGTAGATCATTTGTCGTTTGTGCATTTTTTTGTTTGAAGCAACAAAAATGCTCAAATCGAAAGATGAGTGCTCAACAACTAATTTGATGAAGTTTTAGCTCAGTGATTGTTGAATATTTAGAGAAAACAATATTCTAAGATCTCGATTTTCAATTCAAAAGTTGCAGAGTCATGCTTTGATTTATGCCTGAAATCAGTGTCCGGGACACGTTCTCATTCAACTGGTTGTAGCTACACGATGTCACGCACTGAGCCGAATGTTTTCAAGTACAAATGTTGATTACAGCTAGTATCCAATATTTACCCATTACCACTAATGCAGGGAGGAGCTTTTCATGGAAATGGCTGACATCGTGGCAAGCGAAGGCTACAAAGATGCCGGCTACGAGTTCATCAACATGGACGACTGCTGGATGTCCAAGCAAAGGGATGCACAGGGCATTCTGCAGCCAGACCCTCAGAGGTTCCCCAGCGGCATCAAGGCACTGGCTGACTATGTAAGAACCCGTTTTTCCTCAACACATCTCAGCATTCATAGATGAAAAGAGGCTGAAGCTGAGTGTGTCTCTGCTTGTGCCTAGATTGCAATGTACGAGATGCCAGAGAAAGTTGATAGCTGCTCGTTTGGTTGTTGGGTCTCGGTGATTCTTTCAATCGCTTTCAACAGGTCCATTCCAAAGGACTGAAGTTTGGCTTGTACCAAGACATGGGCACCGAGACCTGCGATGGCTACCCTGGCATCTGGGGTCACATTGAGACCGACGCCAAGACGTATGCTGAGTGGGGCGTGGACTATGTCAAGATGGATGGCTGTCACAACTTGGGCCCTACCTTGTTTGGAGAAGGTAATAGATAAGCTTCGGTTGTTTTGAAAAAATTCTGAAACATTTTGCTGGCTGTCGGACACCTCACTGTAATACCTGACAAGACAGAGTTTGGACACAAGTAAAATCACAAGTCATTCATAAGACAACTCACAAGACTGATCACGAGTAACAGGTGACTTTAGACTGGTGACTTGTAAACAACTTGTGATTGACTTATGAATGACATGTGATTGACATAAGATTCACATGTGGTTGACATGATTTACATGTGACTGGCATATGACTGACTTATGCTTGACATGTGATTGACTTGTGATTGACATGTGTTTGACTTGTGATTGACTTACGATTGACATGATTGTCTTGTTACTGATATGATTGGCATGTGATTGACTTAAGATTGACATGTGGTTGACATATGATTTACATGTGATTGGCATAAGACTGACCTATGATTGACATGTGATAGACATGTGATTGACTCGTGAGCAACATGTTCAGTCAACTAAAACAAATTTATACAAAACATCTAAAGTTTGCATGCAAGTCAACTTCTTTATCTTGTCTGCAATGTGTTGGTTATGACGTCTTCCGAAATTGTAATGGCTATCTTTGTTTCGATATTTTGTTCAGGTTTTGTCAATATGACTCGTGCTCTGAACGAGACAAAGCGTCCAATTGTCTTTTCATGTGAGTGGGGTTTCGACATGAGAGCACACAATGTAAGTATATGTAATTACAAAAACCTGAAAAGTTTGACTGAAAATGGATTATTCAAAAAAAGGATTTTTCCAGAAAAAGGATTTGTACGGAAAAAAGATTTTTTTCTAGAAAAAGGAGCAACAGAACCTTGTAAATTTCAGTTTTAGTCAGTCTTGTCAACAAAGTTTTTATTAAATTACATATTACCTCATTCATTCAACATCTTTCAACATCTCTTGGTAGGGTTTGGAGGATCTTGAATGGCAAGGATTAACCCTCCAAGTCTTTTACACTTTTTTTATGCCCCGCGGCGAAGCCGAAGGGGCATACTGTTTCCGCCTTGTCCTTCCGTGGGTGGGTGTGTGGGTGGGTGTGTGGGTGGGTGTGTGTGTGTGTCCGGACAAATCTTGTCAGC